GAGGTTTTAATCGCGCTGGTGGACCGCGGTGAAACATTTGGGTCCCAGGTTCCAGGTGGTTTAATGCTAAAGGCGGCCTGAATTCCTCTGCGATTTTGTCTTTGTCCGTTAGGGACCCAGCAAAAAACGTCGTAAATCCACCCCGACACTAAGGGGCGGCCCGCGACTGTAAACGTGAAGGGTGTTACCAGTGGGCACTGGGTTAAAAAAAGTGCACAAAAAAATGCTGGAGGTCAGACGACAATGAGAGGAGAAAACTCTCGCGGTAGTCAGCTCAGTGCGCTGAGGCAAATCAGTGGGAGATGGCTCGAGAGGGATCTTACCGAGTGCTTACAGCAATGCACACTTAGTGAGGGTTGACGTGAGCCGAGCTCCTAAACTCAATTGGCGATAGACCAAAGAAGAACAGGTTTCCCCTACGCAAGGAATCTGGGCGGCTTCAGTGGTTTATGGCGACACGTTGGTGATATGGATCAAATATTGATGGCACCGAAAAACGCTGCGAAACCGGTCGCTCCGAAAGCTTCACCAGCGGATGTTCGTCTTGAGGTCGGGTTGTTCTCAACTGTTTTAAATCGCGTTGACCAGAACCAAAGTCTGCTCCGGGAGTCAACACCCTTGTCTTGGGTGGCTGTTGTTCGTCTTTCTACGCCGATATAACCGTGGACTCGTGACACGACTACGGTTTTAGTTGGTCATGCGTATTGTGGTGAAGGGTAGAACTGACAATCAGCCACTGAGCATGCATCAAACTGGTGATCATCGAACTGATTGTAGCTGCTTTCCGGTAATGCACAGCGAGCACGTTCGTTTTAAAGCGTCGATTACATTGCATTCCTCTGTAGGACTAGATCCAGATGAAAGGCGTTTGCAGTGTACGCTCCGCGCGCCTCCTACCCGTAGTCCCTCGCTCACAAGCCGCTCCAGGCAGTGCTTCACTTCGGAAATCCGCTCTCCAGCGGTGTGCCGGGCTGCGACATCGTCCTGACGCGTCAGCTATAAGCCTGATCGATGAGGCTGCTTTTTGCCGGTGCAGGTGACCGGCCGGCTGAAACGGTCGCCCTTTGCCGTGACATTACGATTCTCGCTGATCAGCACCCCGACAGCTGGACCCTGGAAGAGGAGGTACCGTTACGCCGTCGCCCTAGAAATAGCCTGCGATGACCGCTGGCAGTCCGTGCCATGTGCTGACACTGCGAATGACGCATGCCCGCCAGAATGGCGACGGATGCGTGCTTGCTGACGTCACTTCTGATGCCTGTCTGCTGACCTCATCACGGATATATCTGTTGTTTGCAAACCGGCGCACACCGCCGTAAGAAGTCTCAGCGATATAATTCGTTGTTGTACCGCCTTGCGCAGGTTTGCTACGCTAAGGACTACTTTATATCCTGCTTCACGCCACCGCAGATGGGGCTGCACAGTTTGCCCCTGATCTAAAAGCCAGACATTCCATTCTCGGAATGTGTGTCACCTCCTCGCTGACCGGACTCCACTTCACACCGGCCGCGGCGACTCCCCTGCTCTCCGCCTGCCCGCGCTGCCCCGCTCGCTCCGCCGCGCCACGCGGTCCGGGCGGCGCGGCGGGGCGGCGGCCGCGTCCCGTCGCGTTCCGCTCCGCATCACGGTCCAGATCGCTGTCCGAGGCGGGCCGAGACGGCAGCTGCCGGCCTCGTCCCCTCGGCGCACCGGCCGCATCCGCCGACGCCGGCCCGCCCACTCCGCGCGCGGGAAGAGCGCGCCAGACCGTCTCGAGGCGCGCGGGCGGGGCGCGCGGCGGCAGCTAGGGCGGCGTGACGTCCCGGCGCGAGGCTTTGATGGGAATTTCACGCGTGGAGGACGCGCTTACCGTGGGCTCCGTTTTCCCGGATTGCGACAGCGCGTGTTCTGCAAACCTGCCTTGTTAGAGAGTGAGTGAAGGCGCCCGTTGTGCCCTGGTGGGGAGCATGGCTCACGACAGGCTGCGCCATTCCGCGTATTCTTAGTTTTTGTTAGGCTGCATGGCTATGTGCTGTTATGTTTTCCTACATATTTATTCTTTTAATTTCCGTTCCAATAAACGTACGACAATGTCGATGACGTGATGCGTCCACCACAATGGAAATAGTGCGGCACTCAGGGGAGCTGTAGCTGAGTTCAGGAAATGTTGCCGATCGAGGGCTGTTGGCGACGACCCCATTCAGGACCGTCCCATGCCTTCATCACGCGAACCTCACTTGTGGTTGCTATGCCACTATGTAACGGCATTATAAGTAATGATACGTAATGGCCCGCAGAATTTCTGAAAATGGCCGGCGGAATTTCTGAAAATGGCCGGCGGAATTTCTGAAAATGGCCCCAACGTGACAGCCCTGACAGCTTTTTGTACCGAATTATGGTCAGGAAATCTATGTGCGATAAATGGATCATCTATTTAGTTCATGTTCGTCCGTCCAAGGCCACCTGTTGTTGTATAGAACCTTCCTTGAAATGATTCATGTAATATGAACATCAAAGTATGAGCATGCATGCCATTGCCACGCGCCATTGAAGGTCGGGATCACATTGCTCCTTGTCCTTGAGCTTCCTCCGACCATGGGAGAGGCATACCACTGCACTTGGCTGGCAGCCGCGTTCCTGACACGCCTGGCGGGCCCCTCCGTTGAGAAACGGCACTCGCGCGCCACCCAAGCGGGACCCTTTATCAAATCCGCAGTCGCTCTGTGCTGGGGCCAATTCCTGGTCTGGATCCGCTGCTTGTGATGGCTGTCAAGAATGTGTATCTTGTTCTACCTGGTCGTGGCCTGCTGTTTGTCAATGCCATGACTGCAGTCATAAAATGACAGGAAGGCTGAAAACCGATGATGGTATCTGCATCAATTTTTAAGTCCGCGGGAATGCTGCATTCGGATGTGACCCGTACTTTTACGCATGACACTATCGTGGGATACTGAGAACCGTACCATGGATGTTCCTGAAGCATGTAGTCAATCGATTGATTGAATAGGGATGATCCTCCGTTGTAGATGTCCGTGATCTGGGCATCATTTGCGTATCTGGGTATCACCATGTTTTCAACTGGCTTAACTGCACTTCGCAAATGCTGGTAATCAGCCAGCCTGAGCACTCGGGATTGGCCAGGCTAGATTCCAGCCTTACACGACCTCGGTGCGGTGGCGGCCACCAAACCGCAGCCTCAGACCGGGCCGCAGCCGCTCGAGATCGTTAGCGATTGGCCGGATCCGCCAGCCGAGCTGGTCTCGGAGTGAAACCTGGCGAAACCGGCCAGGCGGCCGTCCGTGCGCTGGCTCCCACGGCCGCTGCCGCCGCCGCCGCCGGAGGCTCGGCCCCGCGTGAAGCACGCGCGCGGGGGCGGGCGTCACGGCGCTGGGGAGGTGTTCGCCCGTGAGGGCCGAGTGGTGTTTGTCTAACAGGTCGATGTCAGAGGAGGGGTGCAAGGTCGTGCGGGAGATTTGGTGGGACAGTGGGCTGTCAAGGAGAAACGGTGTTCCCTTACCCATAAGGGTATTGAAACAATCGAAAACCTAACAGCTTACCAATGCTGTCACAAATCCCAGCGCTCTGTCGCGTACCATTTGCCTCGCCGGTTTTCTGATCACTCATCACCTGTTCCTGCCTCGCGGTTCGCTGGAAGCGGTTGGAATGTAAAGCCTTAAACACGCCATCAAAAATCCCAACACTCAGTGATTCCAATAATGTTCCGATGTGATTGTGTTGCATGTGCTTAAATATCTGCTGAGAGTTATTTTTTAAATTGGGTCTACATGTTACTTCATCATATGTTTCATTCGCCAGGCTCTGGTAACTGCCCGAGCATTTTGATTGGATGGATTTCTGGGATCAGCATCCACTCTGACCAGTGGTTTTTGCCTGGGCCCTGACCCCACATCCCATAGCGAAATCCCGGATCAACGGCAACATTTGGGGGGCGAAAGCTTAACCTACCGCAGTGTCCAGCACGGCCCGTCCTCTCCTCTAAACTTCGTCTGACCTTTTGGCACAACCGCTTCCATCGGCTGCCGACCATCCCAGCCAGAAGCAAATGGCAAGGGCCTTAAGTCCGCCCACCCTGTAATGAGTGAGCGAATTGGAATGCGGGCTCCCTAACTCAGTTACCGGGATGCACAGTGTTTAACTGTTAGTTGATTTGGCAGATATTGACAGAAATGTGCTGCTCTTGTTCCACCAGACGGCGGTATTTTGGGCCGCCAGGCTGTTGGAGCCGACGACATCGGCAGTGAGAATTCAGTGTAAAACATTACAGAATGGCATCAACAATAACACTGTTATTAAAACACCTCCATTATCTTCATAACAAACCACGCTGTCTTTAAATAAGCAAATAATGGTTGATGGTTGATGGCATGATGGCTCTTGACAGATGATGGTTGTTAGTTGGTTGATGATATGGCTATGATGATAGGTATGATTATGAAAGACTATGCTGGATGGAACACCTGTCATCACCGAAACTAGCACTGCGGGTCCAGTTTGTGGTTCTGAGATAATTAGGCCCATCAGTGCCTCTGTCATGCCCATGCAAAACACTCATGCATATGGACTCCAAAAGATGCATGCAATGACAATAGTGCCCTTTTTAGTCGTTTGGAGATAGTCAAACATTGCAATCACATTGCAAGCACAAGCAATCCCATGTATCAAATGATGTGACTTTAACAATATCACTGCAGTAGAAGACTTAAAGATGAAATACCTGTATCAAAAATCAACGAGAAACGGGTTCAGGAAACAATTCTCGAAATATTTTTTAAGTGAAATGTACGTTTGTCGGGAGAACCAAGCACTATTTATGCTGTCTTTCATCTTTGCTCTACCTTCCAACCGCGTCCAACCAAGCGCAGTCACCTAATCGATCGTGTTTCCCGTCTGTCACACCCGAGCCACATCGTGCCCTCCCCTCCCTACCGCCCCTCTCATTCACTGGGACCGTGCGCGGCGTGCCGGCACCCCAGCTGACACCGGTCCCCCTCTGTCGCCAGGGACGCCAGCCGGCTGTGCTCCGCCGACGACACCTGGACGGGCGAGCCCCTCACCTGCGGTGAGTGACCTTGGGGCGGACGACCGGGCCGTCGGAGGCGCTGTGCCCCCGAGGCATGGTCAGCGCCAGGCCGGGCCGGGCCGACCTTGGTCACATCCTGGCGAGGCCCGCCGCGCCGGCCAGCGCCGCCGGCGGCAGGGGATCGGCCCCGTCGCCGCCAGTGAGGCGGACTGACCTTGAGTGAGACGGAAAGCGCTCATATTTGGAGACGATCTGCATTAAATTCGGTGGAGCGGTGATGGCGTTCGTGGTGATTGTTCGCCTTGGCGACATCCGCAGGAGGAGGCCGTTCAGACGACGGAATGGATGGTAGCCATCCGGATTTCAAGGGCTAGGAAATGAACGGGTGATTCCAGGCCGTCATTATAAGCGCATTGTGTCGGAAACAAAGCAGCTAAACGGAGAGCTGTTTATCAAAGTGTCAAGAAGCACTTGCCGGAAGTTTTTGGAAGCTTTCTTGTTGAAGACCTCTAAAAACTTGAAGAAGTCTTTGTTTTGGAAACAGATGCAGAGATGGTGTGGTTAATGTGTATTTTTGCCCTTATTATGAGTAAAAAAGGTGTCGACCATTGCGACCATTGTTAGGGATTCAGGCCTTGTGCGCCGCCATTTTTCCGGTTGGTACAGCTGCGTGCCGCAGCAAGAGTCAGACGATTACCAGTACATGTGGGCTGAAAAACCATCCAGCATGAAACTAATCCAGTTGTCGAGTACAGCGGCTGCGTGAGCACGTAGTTTTACACTGGCGCTTACGCTGCCCGCGCAGTATCTCCGGTTCATGCGAGGTAATGTCCGCTGTCATCAACGTCAAGTGAGAGATTAGCACGTTCAATTTTTCGGATTAGCCTGGTTCGAAATGACACGCAGTAACACACAGAGTGGTATGTATTTGGCACGTCTCTTCAGCCAGTCGATTGGGAGCAGCGTGAATGCGCCGACTCTATTTGGCCCTCGGGGCTTGAGCGGGTTTACATAATGGAACACACTAACTGGCCAGATCGTAGACATAGGTCTTACGCATAAGTGCATTGACATATTTCTTGCCTCATAGAATGGTCCATTGCCGGGTGTCAAACGTGTATCGTTGCGGTCGGCTGGGCGACTGGTATTACATAATTGTTGTCGCTACATTCTCCGGCACACATGTGTTTAGTTCAGCTCAGACACATGTAAAATGGGTCCCGTGAGTTCCAAGAGCTCCCATATCAGGGCCTTGGTGGCGTCCGATAATTTGTGACAGGCCTTTTGAAGTTAAACGATTCGATGCTTGATGATTGGCCCCCAGTGAAAAACCCTACCTCCTACCAAAAACAAGATGAATAGACTTGGCATAAGGTCTTCGTTGCTTCTGAGGGGCCACTGTTCCCTCCACCGCCCCCAAAGCCCTCTGACTAACATTTAAAAGGCCGAACAACTCTACGAGGCGGGGTGCAGCCAATCATTCCGACGCTCCCACCGGGCCCTTGATCGTCTATCCCAACGAATCTAAGAGCCCCTCGGAACATAAGCGGAGAACACGTGCCCCCTGTCTTCCCCCCCACACCCACACACCCACACACACACCCTACAGACCTGCAAGGCAGACGCAGTAAGACCTGATGATACCTAACCTTAGTCAAAGAACTGAGCTGATCAACGCAGTGCGTTGTGGGCTGCCTCAGACGGCTGCACCGCCGTTGTGGACTGCCTCAGACGGCTGCATCGCCGTTGTGGGCCGCCTCAGACAGCTGCACCGCCGTTGCCCGTCACCTGAGGCGACGGTAGCCAGCAGATAGAGGGCAGATCCGATGGCCGGTCAGTTTTTACTTCGTTGACGTATGCTGTGGCTTGGGGCGCTGTTGGCTCCTGACGCCGATTCCTACCGGAGTCAAGTGGGCGCGACGGCAACGGCAACAAAATAATGATGGGTGAGTCATGCGCGGCATGTGTTCTGTACACAGTCCAACAGGCCTACATACAGACCAGCAGGCCTACACAAAGCCCAGCAGACCTATACATAGACCAGCAACACGGTCAGCGCGCACGCTGCGCGTGACATGGCGCCGTGCACCTGCTCAGCACGTGCCGTGATATGGCGCCGCGCACCTGTTCGGCGCGTGCCGTGATATGGCGCCGTGCGCCGGCTCAGCACGTGCCGTGACTGGCATGTGTGCATGCAGTGCGCGGCCAGGACACCGTGCCTATCGCCGAGGATCGCACACGGCGATAACCACAGTGAATGGAGGGGACGTGCCGTGACTGGTCCGCACCCAGGTAGCTAGGCCATCAAGGGCGCACGTACAAAGTGGCTCCCCGGTGGTAGGTGCTACCTCCCCCTTACAGCGCGCATTCGGTGCATTAATTTGACACGAATTAACGTTAAACAACGAGGGATTAGAAGAACACCGATAAGCATACGTATATCGAGAGCGTACAGTGTTGTTTTACGCCGGTTGGCGCACGTCTGTAGCGCGCCAAACTAGGTTTTAAATGAAATAACTTCGAGTGGTGCCCCGCATCGCCAAAGCCAGCATGCGCCCTTAGAGGTAAATCCCGAGTACCGCAAGCGAACAAGCTATTCGACCTGCACCTCCCACATATGCTTCCAGGACATGGACGATATGTGTTTCCAGAACAGGGTGCTTTCAGATCTTGTTACCATCTGGACACAGGGGTTGAATCATCACCGAATCCCAGAGGGTGGGATAAAGTTCCGAAAGCGACATCCGAAGCTGGGCATCGGCCGAAACTCTATCTGAGGCAAAAGAGCTTGTCTTTTTCAAGTGCCCAGGGGGCCTCGTCCCTTGGCCACCGGTGACCGGGCGGAGTCGCCGCGGCCCGCTCCAGATCCGGCCGCCGGAGCAGGGCGGCGGCCGGCCGGCCGGGCGTCCCAGGGCAGCCCCGCCCGCCGCCGTGTTTGGAGCGACCCGCATGCGGCGGGGGTCGGCCGGGCCGACCCGGCTGGCGGCGGCCGGCTGGAGAAAGCCCAGGGCCGGCAGCGGCCCGCGTCCCCAGCCCGCCCACCGGCTGGCCGCTCCGGAGAAAGTGATCGGCTGGCGGTGCACGCGCTCGATACACCGGGCCGGCGGAGATGACGGGGGCCGGCGGCGGCGGGGCTCGTGTGCCAGATGAGGTCAGGTGGACGACGTGGCGAGGCGAGAGAATGCTCATGTAACCGGGGAGACTCATTCGCTAGACGAGATGAGACCCGTGCGCCAAACGACCTAGGTTCACGTGCTGGGCGGAATGCAGCTCACGTGCTGGACGAGATGAAACGCACTTGTCAGGCGAGGTGGAACTCACGTGCTGGACGAACGCGTGATGGACAAGACCGGAATCGCGTACCACGTGAGATGAGGCTCACGTGTCCGATGAGACTGACGAAATGGGGCTGGCGAGATGAGACTGAGCATGTCTCGACCGAGATCCGACTGTAATCCATCCAATCTGCATCCAAGCTATCTTTCCGGGGTAGAGCTTCGGAGTTGCCGTCTGACAGTCAGAAACCATTCGAGGCAGCGACCTAGGGCCCAACTGAAATGGAGTTGAGCGACCTGTTCTATATATTATTTAATGGCATGCGTTAGGGCCACCACACGCTGTACAATGGTCGTGTTAGGGTCACCGCATGCTGCATAATGGTCGTGTTAGGGTCACCACACGCTGCATAATGGTCGTGTTAGGGTCACCGCATGCTGCACAGTGGTCAGGTGATAATGTTTCTGTTCAGGCAGCCTTTAGATGTGGCCTCGCAGTCCACAGTCGGAGTTTATCCCAGGCAGGACATTATATTCGGTCAAAAACAAGCACGCCAGGTAGGATGACTTACACAGCTCCGGGGTCTGTAGAAGGAGGCTGGGCCCCGTAGTTCACATGCGAGAGAAACTGTAGGTCATCCGAAGCAGGAAACTGGAGTTCACGTGAGGCAGGTCTCCGCTGCTCGAGACCGTGGGGGGGGGGGGGGGAGGAGGCTGGCGCGAACAGCCCCTCTCAACGGTTGGTGCTCCCGAAATATCTGCTCCACTTTTCGGACGCCTGCCTCCGCCGGGGGACATCGGCCTTGCTGGACTTTCGCCGACCGCGAACCAGGATACACGCAGATGGCGTCTGGTACGACGAGCTAGACGTGTCCATTCCACGCCTGCTGTTGACAAATGAGGGCCGGGACAAAAGACAAGGTTCTTTTCGACAGAGCCTTTCTCTATGCAGGGCCTAAATGACGTAGACGTGCCTTTATGTAGTTATCTGTAACCCTTTTTTTGCCTTGTTAGCTGTCTCTAATTTGCTAACTCGTTAGCAGCGCGCTATCGATTAGATGTCGTTGTAATCCGCACTACTCTACCGCAACGTTTGTGAAATAGATTCAGCCTGACATTAGAGATGGATTCCCTTTTTCTCAGAAGCTTTATTTTTGACGATCAGCTACGAGTGTCCATAAATTGAAAAAAACTGTCATAGCTTGTTTGCGTGGGTGTGCCGTTTTACACAGTGATGCACGGCAAAGAAACAAGTAAACACACCATTTTCAGGGGCGACTGCGCCACCCAAGCGCATCTGGCGCCGTCTGAGTACAACATGTGTGTGTGTGTGTGTGTGTGTGTGTGTGTGTGTGTGTGTGTGTGTGGTGTGTGTGTGTGTGTGTGTGTGTGTGTGTGTGGTGTGTGTGTGTGTGGTGTGTGTGTGTGTGTGTGTGTGTGTGTGTGTGTGGTGTGTGTGTGTGTGTGTGTGTGTGTGTGTGTGTGTGTGTGTGTGTGTGTGTGTGTGTGTGTGTGTGTGTGTGTGTGTGTGTGTGTGTGTGTGTGTGTGTGTGTGTGTGTGTGTGTGTGTGTGTGTGTGTGTGTGTGTGTGTGTGTGTGTGTGTGTGTGTGTGTGTGTGTGTGTGTGTGTGTGTGTGTGTGTGTGTGTGTGTGTGTGTGTGTGTGTGTGTGAATACGCGTGCGTATCGCGCAAGAAATGGACGTGTAACATAACGTGCAGCCTCTAGATCGGGTCATTATTTTCGTTTTTCGTGTACGTTCGGACCCCAACACCGTACCTCATTCCTAACGGTCGTAAACGCTGACGTCGCCACAGGGTCCTGCGCTCCGCTGAAACCGCCAGTCGTGCCACTCACGCTCCCTGCCCTCCCGCAGCGACGAACGTGGCGCAGGGCAAGCCGTCCAGCCAGTCGTCGACGGCGCGCGGCGGGCCGCCTTCCAACGGCAACGACGGCGACCGAAGCACGGTCCACGACGGCGGCAAGTGCACCGAGACGCTGGAGCAGGCGTCGCCCTGGTGGCGGGTCGACCTGCTGGACGAGTACCCCATCGAGCTGATCCGCATCACCACGCGGGGATGCTGCGGTGAGTAGCGCCATCCGCGCGGGGTGCTGGAGTGAATAGCGCCATCCGCGCTGGGATGCTGCGGTGAGTAGCGCCATCCGCGTGGGATGCTGGGGTGAGTAGTGCCATCCGTGCGGGGGTGCTGCGGTGAGTAGCGCCATCCGCGCGGGGTGCTGGGGTGAATAGTGCCATCGGCGCGGGGATGCTGCGGTGAGTAGCGCCATCCGCGCGGGGTGCTGGGGTGAGTAGCGCCATCCGTGCGGGGGTGCTGCGGTGAGTAGCGCCATCCGCGCGGGGTGCTGGGGTGAATAGTGCCATCCGCGCGGGGATGCTGCGGTGAGTAGTGCCATCCGCGCGGGGTGCTGGGGTGAGTAGCGCCATCCGTGCGGGGGTGCTGCGGTGAGTAGCGCCATCCGCGCGGGGTGCTGGGGTGAATAATGCCATCCGCGCGGGGATGCTGCGGTGAGTAGCGCCATCCGCGCGGGGTGCTGGGGTGAGTAGCGCCATCCGTGCGGGGGTGCTGCGGTGAGTAGCGCCATCCGTGCGGGGTGGGCGGTCAGCATGCGAACGCCGGGAGTGTGGGTCTGGAGGAATTGCTTTCAGTGCGAGATATTTACTTTTCTCGGCTTCAGATACCAAGCTTGCTTGAAAGTCACATATCCCGCACCATAAGCGAGTTGCAAGCACTCACCTTAGTCTGGATTGGATATGTAATAGCAAGCTTTAAAGACGTGTGCTATAGCAAAAATTCTCAGAAAGGATTATTGATTATAGACTTTCCATGATGCCGCGCACTGCCAAGCTAACATGAGCGTGCCCCTGCTTCTCTCACCCAAGTACAGAGGCACCTTATTTACCCCAAACATTACCTCACTCTATGCTCGTCACCAACACGTCACGTTTTCAGCTCTTCGTCTGCACCTTCTGTGGGCTGTCGAGCTACCTTGGCGAGCCGCCCGCCCGCGACTGATAGTCATCAGCACGTGACGGCGTCGGGCCGTTTATGGGCGGCCTGCCCCTTGGTCTGCCAGTCCCGCGTGTGACCACCTATAACCGCGCAGCGTCTTGGACACGAAGCCAACGCTATTAACCCGAATGTACCCACGAAAGACGGAGCTGAGGCGGTGCGTGCCATGCGGAGAGACCAGCGTAGTATTTCTACCCACTGTTTTCTGAACCGGTCAGAATGCGCTGTGCCTAACCCAGCAGCGTCTCTGATCATGACTGTACTGTCACATCGACGTCTCCAGCCCTGGCTTCCCAGCCCCTTCAGCACCTCTGGCGCTGACTTCCCCGCTCCGTCAGCGCCTCTGGCACTGACTTTCCCGCTCAGTCAGCGCCTCTGGCACTGACTTTCCCGCCCCGTCAGCGTCTCTGGCACTGACTTTCCCGCCCCGTCAGCGCCTCTGGCACTGACCTTTCCGCTCCATCAGCGTTTTTGAACCTGGCCTCCCCTCCCGCTCCCGGTGGCGCTTCTGACCATCGCTGCCCCGCCCTGTCCGCAGGTCAAAAGCCGCTGCAGGATATCGAGATCCGCGTGGGCAGCAGTGCCTCGCTACAGCAGAACAGGCTATGCGCCTGGTTCCCCGGCACGCTGGAGGAGGGCAAGGACAAGGACTTCCGCTGCGCGCGGCGCATGTCCGGCCGCTACGTCTTCATCCAGATGGTTGGCGTGGACGGCGCGCTCTCGCTCTGCGAGGTCCAGGTCTTCAGCTCGCAAGGTCAGTGCCGCCGGGGATGAGGGAGCTGGGTGGGACTCGAGAGCTGGGCTGGCTGGTCCGGGCCGGGTTGAGTGGCGCGGCGGCGGGTGCTCGGGGCTTCAAACGATGAGACGTTGAGTCACGATGGTAGACACGGCTCGACCTCGCCGCTCGGTAGAAGTGGAGCCACGACGGCGAGGTAGAGGCGAAGTCGAGACGGTGAGGTAGAAGTGGAGTCGCGTCGAAGAGCTGCAGCACGCCTGATCACGTGATTGCACCGAGAGGGCTCAGAGGCGGGTGCGGACCTCCAGACGGCTGTGAGAGGAGCCGCGCCCGTCTGACGAACGGCTCTCACGCCTGGCCGGCGGCTCCCAGGCGCCGGCACGCGTCCCAGGCCGTGAGAGCCGCTTCGAGTCCCAGCTTCCGATCGGGGTCGACCGGGCGCGTGCTGCCGGCCGCTGACACCTCAGCGAGCCCGTGACCGCGCAGGGCTTACACAACGGGCCCGCCGCTGGCCGGCTTGCGCCATCGCTCGCCGCGGTGTAACCCACCTCACCCTCTCTCGCTCGCGCGCCGCTTACGAAAGCATACTGCACAGCGCGGGTCAGTCAACGGTTCCGCGTCGGACGCGCGGCACGGTCATGAGTTGCCAGTTCTGGTCGGTGGTTCGCGGGCCGTTTGCTGCGCCGCGAGACTCGCCGCCGCGCCGCGTCAATTCTCACAAACAGTCGTAATCACGGTACTGGCACGGCGTCGGCCAAAGTAGCGGACAACGGGCCGCATATTCCGCAGGAGTGACGTCTTGGACGCGCATCAGCAGCTGGCGGTGGGAGCTGGTAGCAATGCTCCTTGCAGGTGTAACTGTACCGGCCGTAATCTTGCTAGACTGTGTTTTTGCTGCTGCGGACGCCCAGCGTTCACGGTGTGAATGCTGCTTATTTACTATTGGTCGCTCTTATCCCCCATTATGCGAATGTTCTACCGTACACCTTTGAAAACAAAGCATTTTTGTGAACTGTTACGCTCGTTACATGATTTTGGCGATAATCTTCCAACCATGCAAACACCGGAGCAGAAGACCTGCGGCGCCCCTCTGGTTTCACCGCCGCTGACCACCGCTGCCTCCCCTTCGGCAGAGCTCGCGAAGGAGCAATGTGCGTCGGACGTGCCTCTCGACAGCCTGAGCCTCCACAACAAGACCTGCTACGAGTTCCAGCTGAGCTCCGGCGCCAACTTCCTGACGGCGCGCCAGCAGTGCCAGCGCTCCAACGGCGACCTGGTGCACACGATGCCCGAGCCGGCCTTCAACTTCCTGCTGGACCGGCTGGAGCGTAGCAAGACAAAGATGAAGACCCAGCTGCTTTGGATTGGCGTGCGCAAGGGCTCTGGCAGGGGCGAGTGGCGCTGGGTGGACGGTGAGTCGGAGCAGGGGCGCCGGGATCGGCTGTTGGGGGGAGGGGGAGGGGGAGCGGAGGGTGTAGAGTGCGGGTGTTAGAGGGCAGAAAGTTGACAAGAAGAGGAGGCTGGTGGTCGATGCACGACTGGTTGATGGGATTGGGATACTTTGACGTAGATGGCGCGTGAGTTATCTAGATCAGGCATCAGTGGGAGCTGAGGGGCAAGGATTGGCGACGGATGGATTGGAAATGGGCTTATAAGAACATAGTTTGTACAAGCTTGAATAATTAATTATTAACGTGTTGGTATTTGGTGCTTCTCTGGAAATTCACATGCTGACGGCTTCTCTGTCTCATGATCCCTTCCGTGACTCTTTGCGATGCCACATTTGCATCAGCTGGCTACACATTTTGTCGGTGCTGTCGATTTTTCAAACAGTCGCGTCAACCAGCATCTTTGCTCTCATGGTTTGCCCACTGACCACGGCACGCTCGCTTGATGAAGTTCCTCATCCCCACGGCGCTGCGATCGATCTCACTCATCACTTACGGCCAGGCTCGCCGGTGAGGAAGCCGCGTTGGGGTAAGGACCAGCCGAACAGCTACGTGGGCCAACAGAACTGCGTGGTGCTGGATGGCGGCCGAGACTGGCTTTGGAACGACGTCAGCTGCAAGCTAGATTACCTCCACTGGATCTGCGAATACCGTGAGTCACTGCTTCAGACCCGACTGTGGTTGCTACGTTTTGTATGTGCTTTTGGCCATGATGGCGTTGAGGCTCGATTGTAGCTGTTTAAGTCTTATGTTCGCGTTTTTGCATTACCCAAATATAATGATATCCGGGTTGTTGCATATAAGCGACATGAGATTGGGCCAGCGCACCTCCCATTTCTCCCATTGACACATAGTGCAAGCTCAGCATTGGATCCACAAGGTTTCGTGGAGCCTTTCTGACCTGTGAATTGGGATCGCCGTGAATTTGAAAGGTTCGTCTACTTAAAGTTTCTGTTTCAGTAGAGTTAAGTCCTCCCCCTCCCCGCCACCACGAGGGGTAGCTGGTCCAACGTGACGGCCTCTCTAGCCCCTCTCCGATGACGTGATGACGTTGTCCCCGCAGGGCCTCAAATCTGCGGTAGTCCCGACAAGAACGAGAACACGACGATCGTGGGTGGCGACTTCGGCCTCAACCGCACCATTTCCTATCAGTGCCCCGAGGGCAACAAGGTGGTCGGGGACGAGACCCGCACGTGCCAGGAGCCCGGCTTCTGGTCCGGCGCCGCGCCCACCTGCGAATGTGAGTCCACGGAGTCCGTGCGTAGACCGGCCCGGTGGGAGTCAAAAAGGGCGGATAAGGCGCGATTCATGTCGTAGATGCACCTTTTCCGCCCGCCTTTTTGTCGGATGTATTTGTAGTGGTGCTGTTGACGCTTAAAAAGCTGGCCTCGGTGTAAAAGATAGCAGATTTGTGGAAAGGTTTGCCCGGCTCTCCAGTGACGGCTGCCATGCCCCATCCCACTTTCGCCTAATGTATGCCGGTGGTTGATCACAGCAGCCGGGACATCCTTCACCTTTCCCCGCGTGCCGCGGCGGGTTCTCCATTCTCCGCGGCTGGCCTGTGACCCGGGGCTGGCTGGTTGGTCTGCTCGCTCTGACCCCGCCTCACGACACGGCCCCGGTCGTGACGCAACCGTGCTGCCTCCGTGGCGACTGACGGCCCCACCCGGCCCATGTGCTCTGGCTGGGGACGCGGCGTGTGTGGGGGTCTGGTCAGCCGCCGCCGCCCGGTCCACGTGACTCGTTAAAGTCGACCGAGATTCGGTATCTCTCTGATTGCGTCCGTTCGTGGTTAGATGTGTCCTGGTAGATGTTAGTGGCGAGCAGTCTTGCGCGGTAGCGTGTTCCTTTATGACTTGACATTATTCTCGACCGTCGGGCTGCGCTTGGATCGATCGCTCAGCTGACCTGGGATTGCCCTCACCTCTAGCCAGAATATCCCCTGCCTACTTCGCGTACCTGAGTATGAGAGATTGTCCATACCAAAATACGGTCGTTAACACTGTGTTGCGCCCCGACTCGCGCGCGGCCCAATGTACACCAAGCTGTCATACTCCTGCTGTTCCCACACCATCCGACCGTCATCCGTCTCCGCCATGTCATCCGGCATCCGGCATCCGTCATCCGTCATTTCCTCACTAATCCTCAGCCAGTATCCTCCGACCTCTCCGCCATTCCGTACTGCCTGTGCCATCACCCTGTGACCCCGCCGCACGTCCCTCACACCTCCTGACCGCACCCCTCCGCCGCCAGTTGTCGAGTGCGGCCCGCTGAAGGACATCGCCAACGGTCAGCTGACACTGCTGGACGGCCGCACCACGTACGCCGCGCGCGCCAGATACGTCTGCGATGCCAACTACACCGCCGTCGGCGAGCCGCTGCGCACGTGCGGCGACGGCGGCGCGTGGTCAGAAGAGGAGCCACAATGTCTCTGTGAGTGGCTTGGGCGACATGAGCATAAGGTCAGGAGTGGCAGGGGCTCCTCCCAGTGTTAACGAAGCTAGCATTCAACTGCGGTACGTAGAGCTAAGGACATATGAAATATCAACCGTATTATGATTAACACCGAGAAATAATTTGTCCTCCCCAGATTTGGGTGATTTTCCTTGCATCACTGCGTCTGCGTGACTAGCCCTACATTGGCTCGTCACGCAGAGACTGACGTGGCGAAGCGGCGACTGCTGGCGGCGAAAGGACGGCGGAAGCATGCACGAAATGACACTGACCATTAATGACGGGAGGCTAATGGGACGGCGATTACAATCATGAGACGGGCTAATTAGATGTTGCGGCTGAAATGTGTGAGTTGATGGCTCCGTAATGAGGCAGGCAGACTGGCTGGTGTGGACGTGTCGAGGTGCTTCATTTAGTGGCGTTCTTTGTCTGCCCGCATTTATTTATGAAGAAGGAAAGTGCCCACCACGCGGTGTAATTGCCGCAGATAGCGTGCTATGATGCATTTAAGTGGCGCAGCTACGTCATATGTATACGCCGCCTGCTCAGCTTTGTCACATCGTCTCTAGGTGCAATCAAGAGCGAGACGTTCAGTCTCGTTGCATCCGGAGCTTTGGGTCTCATCACCAAGCCCCCACCACCTCGCCGACAGTCCCGCTGTGTCCGGAACTCCACGTCTCGCCATCAACTCCCCGCCACCCTGCCCGCAGTCCCGCTGTGTCCGGAACTCCACGTCTCGCCATCAACTCCCCGCCACTTTGCCCGCAGTCTCGCTGTGTCCGGAGCCGGAGACGCCGACGAACGCCACCCTCGAGTTGCGCGGCAACCTAACGGTGGGCACGGAGGCGCTCTTCACGTGCGCCGCCGGCCACAAGCTGATTGGCGAGGCGGTGGCCACGTGTCAGCTGGGCGGCGCCTGGAGCGCGCCGGCGCCGCTCTGTCAGCTGATCGACTGCGGCCAGCCGCCGGAGCCGCAGCACGGCAGCTCACAGATGGACGCCACCTACTACGGCGCCACGGCCGGCTTCAGCTGCGAGGAGGACTACTGGCTCATGGGCTCCGAGGAGCGCACCTGCCAGGAGGACGGCCGCTGGAGCGGCGAGGACACCTTCTGTGAACGTGAGGAAGGCTGCCGCGGACGGTGGCTTATATCAATAGCTTAAAGTTTTACCTGCTGCTAAATACATAGTCACGCCTTTGCTTTTTCTACTTCTTCGGTTCCAGCAGGCCTTAGAGGACGTCTGATCAAATTTTCGTTGTTCGATGATTACCACTGGTCCAGACTGATGGCCTGGTGGCAGCTCTGATGGCTCATACCGACTTCGCCGAAATCTTTCGCCCTGAATGCGCTTGTGTGACCCTGTTTTGCACGCGTTAGCGCAAAAGCAAAACATATGCGAGCAAAACCTGACGTTCATTCCTCCTTCGTGTGGACAGTGATCAACTGCGGCGAGCCGGACGTGCCGCCGGGCAGCTACGTCACCGGCTACGACTTCCACGTCAACAGCGACGTGGAGTACCACTGCAACGTGGGCCACCTGTTGGTGGGCGAGCCCATCAGGCGGTGCCAGCGGGACGGTACCTGGTCAGGAGACGTGCCGCTCTGTCAGTGTGAGTCACACCTCCAGGGCAGGGTTTCACCTGGGTGTAAGCGGGGCGGCACCTGGTCAGGAGGCGTGCCGCTCTGTCAAGACGAATCACATGTGATGTGGAAGGGTGTTACCGGGTTAAGAGCGCAATATCTTTTATTGGGGAGGCGAAAGGAAAAGTTGGCTTGGCCCGTTCGTTTGCTGTGCGGCTCTTCTAGACCGAAGTGAGCTGGCGCATGGTCAGCTGGACCAGTGTGACCAGAGGAGTGCAATTGTACAGGAGAGCGAGAGCTGAACAAAAAATAGGTGAAGTCACTGGGCAACGAGGTGACGCATTGTGGCCTCATCTCAAATTACCACAACTCATTTCTCTTTCGCTTGCGCATTGACTCAATCTTACCGACTGCTGACAGGAAATTCCGCGGTCCTTTTCCTTTCTCCATCCCCCAAACGAACAGACTGCCAATGATCGGCATTTCAGTCCAAACGCCACGCTATTCGCTTCGTTCTGGGGCACTGCGGCCGGTAGCAGGTTTCTGACGTTTTTGCCTTTCTACTTATTGTTCAGATTGATGGATAGCTCACACTAATCTGTGTAGCACTTCAGGCACATGACCTGTATCATTTTTCACTGTTGCTGCTGTCCTGTCTTCCTGATGCGCGTAGATGTTGTCCGCGCTGGCGGGCAGCTGCTGCGGTCTATTTAACCCAGTCCTGAGACGTAATCGCGAAGCCAGTGGCCGCGTCCGGTCCGCACGATGTGTGCGACTTTTTCAGTCCGTCTTTTACACGCAGTGCCCTCCTTTGGCGTTTCAAAACCAGCAAACGTCAATTCATTTTTACACTATATCAGGCTTTTGTTGAGTCTGGGCTTAGATTTCTCAGCAGTTTTTCCCCAATGCGCTGGACAGTTCCCAGAGCCCACCGTGCCGCGTGCAGACCCGGTGACCGCACTGCTGGCCATGCCACTTCTCCGCAGACCTCGTGATCGCTCTGCAGATCTCACGAATCATCTACAGATCTCGAAACCATTTTACAGACCCCGAGACCCTTAAGACCCTAGCCCTTGCACAGACCGCCGTGACTCATCAGCAGACCCCAACGAGTTCTCTAGGTACAGTCATATGCATGACTCCAGTACGGACCTCTTTGGCCCCTAGGCAGACATCCGTGCCCTCTCCATAGATCCTGTGACCTCTCCGTGACCTTTAACCTCTCCACCCCTATCTATAAACCCCCGTGAACCCTCCGCCAATCCCGTGCATCTCTGCCGATCCCACGCCACCTCTGTCGACACGGTGCCACCTCTGCAGACTCCGTGCTACCTCTGTCGACCCCGTGCCACCTCTGTCGACCCTGTGCTAACTCTGCGGACCCCGTGCCGCCTATGCCGGCCCGTGCTAACTCTGCGGACCCTGTGCCACCTCTGCAGACCCCGTGCCACCTCTGTCGACCCCGAGCCACATCTGCCGGCCCCGTGCTACCTCTATCGACCCCGTGCCACCTCTGTCGACCCCGTGCTAACTCTGCGGACCCTGTGCCACCTCTGCCGGCCCCGTGCTACCTCTGCTGACCCCGTGCCACCTCTGTCGACCCCATGCTAACTCTGCAGGCCCTGTGACATACCTCAGCCGGCCCTGACCGCCCGGCTGTCACCTCCAGACGTGGACTGTGGCCGCACGCTCGCCGTGCTGCACGGAGACGTGCAGTACGTCAGCGGCGAGACGCACCTGGACAGCGAGCTGGAGTACTCATGCAATCCGCAACTACCGGCTGGTGGGCGAGAGCATGCGCGTCTGCCAGGAAAACGGCGGCTGGTCGGGCAAAGCCCCGGTCTGCGAGGAGGTCCGCTGCGGCGATCCGGAACGATCAGAGTGAGTGAAGGAGGGAAGGCGACTGCGGTGACCTGGAGCGATCGGAAAGAGTGGATTGAGGGAGGTCTGCTGCGGTGACCCGGAGCGATCGGAAAGAGTGGATGGAGGGAGGTCCACTGCGGTGACCCGGAGCGATCGGAGAGAGTGGAGGGAGGGAGTCCGCTGCGGCGACCCGGAGCGATCGGAAAGAGTGGATGGGGGGAGATCCGCTGCGGTGACCCGGAGCGATCGGAAAGAGTGGATGGGGGGAGATCCGCTACGGCGACCCGGAGCGATCGGAAAGATTGGATGGAGGGAGATCCGCTGCGGCGACCCGGAGCGATCGGAGAGAGTGAATGGAGGGAGGTCTGCTGCGGTGACCCGGAGCGATCGGAAAGCTTGGAGGGAGAAAGGGCGACTGTTGAGACCCGGGGCGATAGGAGTAAGTGGAGGGAGGGGGGGGGGGGCGGAACAAAACACCGGTTGGTTTGCTCACATTCGGAACTTGGGATAGTTTTAGGCGTCCTGCAGGGCTGAGTGCGCAGTGATATATATACATGGGCATTCTGTCACTGGGATGGTCGTTAGGGGCTATTTTCCTGTGCTTATATCTACGGCAGGCCATTAGTCCCGCAGTAGACCAAATCTGTCCCGATGGCTCAGTTGGTTAGAGCGCCTACCTTCCAATCCACCCACCCGTGGCGGGATGAGTTCGAGTCGCTTTAGGCGCTCGCCGTTTGCTTTTGACGGATATGACCTGCGGCCGGTGGCAGCAGCCGCGATTAAGGTCAGATGACGTCAGAGGGCAGGATGGACCGTGCCGAGCATTGCAGCACGTTAAGCTTTCGCCACTAAATTCTGCCGCCGACATCGAATTTCGCGACCGGATGGTAGGGGTTAGGGCTCACACAACAAGCACTGGTTAGCGTGGGCTCCGATCCCAGAAATCCATCTATTCAGAGCTTGGATTGAATCTTAAAAAAGAGCCTCGCCACGTGTGGTGCTTTTGGGGCCAGTGGGAATTTCCTGCAGAGATAATCAGACCAAGCGTTGCAGCCTTAGGATATCAGCGGAGCTATTCAGCTACTTACACTCCCCTGCATTTCCCGCTGTTCGACAGGCCGGTTGTTGCATTCTCAGGCGTTTCATTTGTAATCGTGTTAGCCGCATGTATTATTTGCATCTGCTTTTTGCATCACGTCATTTACAAGTGCCCTTCGTCATACCATTCCACGCCACTGATAAAGCGAACCTTCCTAACACATCCACGCCTCTGCTGTCCCCAGGAACGCCGTGCTGAGCGTGTCTGGCAACGACCGCATGCGCCAGAAAGCCAAGCAGATCGCACAGAATCTTCCGCCGAAGGAGACGTTCCGGGTGGGCGCCACTGTCACCTACAAATGCAAGCCTGGCTACAAGGTGACCCACTCCCGCACGGGTTGTGACCCATGGGCAAGGGGGCAGGGAGGCCGTGCAGTGCGAGTCATCGGCGACAGCGCATGTCTGTTTCGCCCTCGCTTGTTGTCCACAGGCTGTGCTAGTGGACGGACGTAGTTCGCTTAACTTGTCTTTTTTCGATGACGGTGGGTGTTGGCTCGTGGTTTGAGTTAAGTACTCGCGCTGAGGATGGCTTGCACCAACTATGCGTGACGGGATATCCGCCGCTTCCTGCGATACCAACTCTGATCAATGAAGTAAGGTGCAATATTGAGCAAAGTTTCATTGGCCATTTTAGCAGTTTGAAATGGGCTCAATGTCGTACCTATGTGGTCATCATATATATATATATATATATATATATATATATATATATATATATATATATGTATATATATAGTGTTGTCTGTCCGCGCCGCCCGACGTTAATCCCGGCCCGCTCCGCCAGGTGGTGGGCGACGCGTTGCGCTCGTGTCGCAGCTCGGGCGCCTGGGCGGGCCTGCCGCCCACCTGCGTGTACGTGGACTGCGGCGCGCCCGACCCCTTGCCATCGGGCACCGTCAACCTGCCGCTCAATGCCAGCTACTACGGCGCGATCGCCCAGTACAAGTGCAACACCAACTTCAAGATGGCCGGCCTGGGCCGCCGGCTGTGCCTGGAGAACGGCACCTGGAGCGGCCAGCCACCCGTCTGTAACGGTGGGTAGCCAGGCGGCGAGCACGGGCAGCTGCGAGAGCGGAGCCGTCGCGGAGAACAACGTCGAGCCTAGTTGAGAACGTTTTGATGGGTGTAATGTCGGCGACAGCTAGTGTGTTTCGTGGATGTGACTGAGTGCGTATTGATAGCATTGGACTTGAATTACGGTACCTTGACAGTGACGTCCTGTCTTAATCTCCATTTACAAGCTCAGACCATCTGAATGCTAGCACCTAACTGGTCGATAACACTAGCCTTTGCTCTATCTGCACTGGGAAGAGCGCCTCCGATAAACTGTCTCATTGTGACCCGACACATGCAATCGTCTGTTGCCGAACACATCACATCTTACCCAAGCGGCTGCGGCTACGGGAGCCGTTGCGCGCGCGACCGAAGCGGCGCGACTGACGCGGCGCCACCTACCGCAGAGATCGTCTGCGGCGAGCCAGAGCGGCCGGGCGAGGTGCTGGCCGTGGTGACGACGGGGCACCGCGTGGGCGACACGGCCTCCTACAACTGCGGCAAGGGACGCCAGCTGATCGGCCAGGCGACGCGCACCTGCCTGGACACGGGCTTCTGGGGCGGCGTTGTGCCCACTTGCCAGTGTGAGTCCTGCCGGCGCGCGTGCTTGTTCCTCCTACAAGCTACACCAGCACCCCATTTCCGCTGCTGCAGTGGCAGATGACTGACTATGTGGGAGGGTATGTGGGATTGCTAGCAACCTGCGATGGCATGTTTTCAGATACATTTTGAAATTCGTCTGTTTGTTCCATGCAGCGTTATCTTTGTAATGGGAAAAAGTCGTGTTGTCCACGGTCGGCCCGGTGCTGCAGTCATCTAAGATAATCACGATTGCGACCAAACATGCCAAGATGCGGCCTGTTTTGATGAGGTGGGCATTTGTCCACTACTCTCCGCAGCCGCCCTACGTGCGTCTCCGACGGCACACCGGCCTCGGACCTAGAGTCTGACCTCTAACCCGAAGCATAGCACTGACCCCGCTGCAGCCCTGACCCCGCGCCGCAGCCCTGACCCCGCGCCGCAGTCCTGACCCCGCGCCGCATGCTGCAGGGGTGGACTGCGGCCCGCTCGGGCCGGTCGAGAACGGGCGAGTCTACCAAGTGAACCAGAGCACCGTCTACGACTCGGTAGTGGAGTACCATTGCTTCCCCAAGTATCTGCGCCAGGGGCCGTTCACGCGTCGCTGCATGGAAGACGGCACGTGGTCGGGACCCGACACCAAATGCCTCCGTGAGTGGCGGCACTGCTCGTCAACGGAGCGAACGGCGTCACTCCTCCGAGGGTGGACCGTGATGGCGCCGACCTGGTGCAGACAGGGGCAGAGTTGGGCTGCGGGCTAGGTGCCAGGGCTGGGCGGTGCAGGCGAAGGTCGTTTCTGCGCGGGCGTTCTTCACGCGCGTACGTGTGTGTCTTTTGTACTGATCGTGATTTAACGCTTGTAGTCGCCCGCGTCTCTCGGTCTTGCACCGCTCCAAAAGAGAAATGATGGTGACAAAGGTCGTATGCATCTTTGGGGAAACAGTTCATCGGAAAGCGGGAAGCTTGCCCAGACGCAGGGGTGTATTTTCTTGCTCAGTTGAGGAGATTCAGACCCATCTTCTTTGAGAAGAAAGTGGTTCAAATTCGAGGGAAAGCATCTCGTATGCATACAAAGACGACGTGCACACGATAACATCCAGACCTTTTCTGCACGTCGGTAGACCTTCGGTAGCGCGCCATCAACTCCACAGTTGAGGACATCGCTAGAGCGTTGTAATGTCAATCTTAGTGATTCGGTAGTCGTGCATCTTGCTCGTCGCTTGCTCGTTGTACTGGAAGCTGTCATCATCCTTGCCATCATCCACTCTAAATAATGCAGAGGCTCTGCCTAGCTCCGTGCCAGATTGCCGTCCAGTCGGCGCGTTCATCGTCCTCCAGCGACCGCTCCGCCCCGCCTCACCCTGCGCACCGCCTTTCAGTGAGCACGGAAACGGTCTCGGCCGGCCTGGACGCCAGCCTGGACGGCCCCGAGAACGTGCCGGCGGCGGGCTACGGCCCCGCCGACTATGACTCGGCCCGTAACACGGCCATCTGGGCCGGCGTGGCCATCGGCATCTTCGTCCTCATCGGCATCGTCACGGCCGTCGTCTGTCTTCGGATGTAAGCAGCACAGGGGGCGCATGAGGAGAGGGCACGGGCCACGGGAGCCGGTGGCGGAGATGACCATGTACAGCCCGGGGGCTCTGGGAGGGGTGTTGCTGGGGGGTTGATCGAGAAAAGGCCGGTGCTGTTTGGTGCGACGTGTGTGCTGCACGGGGGGCAGAGGGACTTCGCGATGCATCAGCTGAGGGCGGTTTATTCTGGCCGCGTGAACCGGACGCTCATCTTGCATTCAGTCGCCGCCGGGCCTCTTCTGAAGTGGTGTCAGCTCACAGCCGGTGCAGGGAAGACGTAACGGTGTATCACTCTGTGGCGGCTGGACTGTCTGACCTGTCCGGAAACCGATCTCGGTGTCGACCTTTATCGTAGGCCGACGGCGTGTGCAGTGGCACGTGGTGATGGCTACTCGTGAAATTTCCGCCCACGACTGCTGCGCCTGCAGGTCCACGCCATTGCTTAATTACAGGCAAAAGGACGTGAAACCAATGTCCTATGATGGTGTGAGTAAGTGCCTCCACCTTCTGAACACGCGTTCCATTTTGCGACAGGCGGGCGCAAGTGGTGAAGAACACGGAGAACGTGCAGGGCATGAAGGCGATGGAAGAGCGGAGCGCGCCTATCATGAGCTTCGCCAACCTGGCCGACGGACCGCGCTTCGGCGTGCAGAACGGCAGCTTCTCCAACGGCGTCGCGCCGATGCAGAACCGGCCGCTGCCCGTGCGGCCGGACGAGGAGGAGATCTACGCAGAGGCCGACAGCTTTTCGTCAGGTCCCGACTCACCGCCGTCCAGTCGCACCTACGCCAACCGCGACGCCACCTACACGAACGGCGTGGACCGGGGCGACGGCAGCGCTGCCTACAACAGCGGAGGCGATAGCAACGCTACCTATACCAACAGTGGGGGCGATAGCAGCACCCCTGCAGGCGGCTCGGTGACGGTGAACGGTATGGCGCTGTAGCGGGCGGCTGTGGTGGAAGCCGGCCGTCGCCCGGCCAGCAGTGATAGTGCACGCGTGGTGCTCGGTGAGCTTGCGCACCGCCGGCCCGCAGCGCGACGCGCGGACGAATGCGGCGCGCTCGCGTCGGACGCTGGCGCGCCGCGGACGCGCCCGGGCGCGGTGTCGGAGCCCCGGGCTCGCGTGGGCGGAGATCCACTCCAGCCACTGACCTTACCTGCTCAGCACTGAGCGGAGTGGCGGCGGTGATCCGTTCGCTATTGTGCGACGAACTCCGAAGTGGATTCAGGACACGTTAACGTCAACGAAGGAGTGTTTGGTGGCGTTCCGCCTTAACGCGGTACTCATGTGTGCAACGTTTTCGTGTCCAAGGGCAGACGCGAGTGGTGGGTGCATGTCTTGCAAGTGTGGTTCCGTCGTGTGCATGGTAACTGGCCACCCTCACGACTATATAGGCAGGTGGTGCTGTGCGTTACGTGATGTCAACACATGCGTTTGGGTAAATACAACCGACTCACTGTATACATGGGCGTATATCAATTTGACGCCTCGGGATGTATCGATCAATGTCTACAAATCCTTTTTGCAGCACACATAGTGCGGTATTTGCCTACTGCTGCATCCGTCAGCGATATTTCACAGATGTGACGTCACGAATTGCCGGTGTCACGTGGTACTGGAATGTGAAGTGATTTATGGTCTAGATAGGTAAGTGATGGGCCAGAATGCGTCATCGTGGTCCCGTTCTGGTAACTTGGGCCAGGAAGCTAAATGCTATTTATTTGATTTCAGCCACATGCTGGCAGCCTTGCTCCAGATCTACATTGGTTTGATCCACACGATCCCAATTTTGGCAGGAACTCTTATGGGTCCCCGTCCGGGGTCATAAGAGATATTGTGATAATTTCTGACGTCTCCTGGAACTTGTCGCCATGAAGACCTAAGCCACTCTGGTCATTGAGCCACACGCCTGTGAAAATGGGGAAGGTTTATCGGGGGGACTATTTCAAAGTCACTTTGGTATTTACGACGTTATAATAATGTCATTCAAATCCTGTCATTGCATAAGTCATGCGGCGATCAAGGTCAGAAAAAAATTGTCGAGGCGTTCATATCTGGTGTTTGTGAGGGCAATTCCCAGATACATCGGCCGTCAATTGGCTCTCAATGAATATTGTGCAAGATACGATGACGTAATTAAACCATGACGCACTCAGGAGTGTATTTAATGAACATAAATTGTGCTGTCTAGAACAGTCCTTTTTCACTTTCACTATACCAGTTGTTAAAATCGAGCTTGTTTCATTATATCTGGTGTTTGCTTCGATATATTCAGATGTGGGACATTCCCTTTTAAAAATGAAGGTTTGTGGGCTGTTCGTGGCGCTCCACCGCAATTTAGGCTCCTCAAAAACACAGGTGCCCGGAGTGAAGGCGTTTGTTGCCCTTTGACGAACGAAGGTGTCGATCTAGGATTTCATTTAAGTGCAAGTCAAAACAAATGTGGTGCCCCCAGATTTTGTTTCCCCTTGAACTGAAGTTTTCCCTTTCAATCATCCAGTTGGATTTGGTGCCTCTAGAAAATTAATGTTATGGGGCCCCGGAAGGAAGGTTTTGGTGCTCCGTATCCCATGGGGCCGATACAGGATTTTGTCAATGAAGAGGCACGAGCATTCTGGTATCCCCTTGAATTTATCGTCTCTTGATCGCTTCCTTCCCCTGGGTTCGCTTCCAGATCCCAAGGGATGCATGGGCGTCCTGTGCACCCGCCTGAATACGGGATTGTGTCTCAGATAGCCCCTGCTCTGGACAAGAATGGCCCGTTTTGGGATAACAAGGTGCTTTACTGGGTTTGAATAACCCGTCAGGATCTGATGGGTCTCCTCATCAGGAGGTCCTCTTTTCATCAGCAGACCTTTCCCTGAAACGGAAAGCCCTGTTTTTGGAAAGAGGGACCCTTCGTTGGAACAAGGCGATCGCTGTATTTATCAAAAGGCAAACACTTTTAAATCTTAACAGCCGATATTTTTTGCAAGGATGTTAATACATAAGTTCCTATGTGCATTTGTGAGCAGCATTACACATATAGATAAGACAGCGCTGTTGGCCTTATTTCTCGTAGAATAACCAAAAGGAAGCCATCTACATAGCCTTCCACTTCTCGCTCCTGGTTTTCTGCGAGGAATAAGGTTATCAGAACTGTTTTATCGATTCTGATATATGTAGGAACTTGACAAGGTAGCTCATTTCCGCCGTGTCCGTCCCCTTTAATGCAACACTGTCCAGGAGGTCCCTGTGAGGAGGTTTTATTTCATCCAGGAAATCCCCCGGAAAATCCTGACCCCTATTTCAAAATATGTGGCGGTGCCCCAAGGGCCAACAGGTTTCGTGGGAGGGCGGTGGCTACGGAGCGTCCTAAGTTTGATCAAGAGGGGGCCCCGCGTGGTCGATAATATCAGGATCCCCGGGCCTGTTCCAATTTGAAGCATTTCGAGCTGACTTGAGTTTTGTTGAGCTGGCATTTTACACTTAAGCTGTATTTTCTAGAATTGTATTACTTTGGCTTCTTCTTTTCCGTTTGTCTTTAGTTTTCGACTTTTACCACCTTTGTCTTGTCCATTTCATTGGTTGCGTTTGACCTTTCTCTTTTACTTGTGTCTGTCTAGCTTTTGTTCCTTTCGATTTTTTCTTCAAAAATTGCATTTTAACTTTTGCCTTTTGATTTTGTCTGCTTTGGCTTTTTGCCTTTTCACTTTTCCCTTTTGTCGTTTTGACTGGCTGATGTTCGTCTATTTAAAATCTTGCTTCTCAACTTTTTGCGCATTTTGATTTTTTAGTTGGCTCTTATATTATTTAATATGTTCATTCGACTTTTTTCTTATGGCCGGTTGCTGGTTCGGTTTAATCTATTTGACTTGCGTTCCTTTTGACTTCTTGCCATTCGACTTATTCGTACATGACTTTCTGGCTTTCGACTTTCTGTCCGATTGTCGGGCTGTCCCCCACCCCCCTCATCTCAATAGAACAGGAACTACAACGCTGGTGAGCACTCAAATTCGAACCCACTACTCATGTTTACCAAGCAGACACGTTACTGGTCAACGAAAACGGCAAAATCATTTTGAAGTCAGAGGCCGCACATGCATTTCCTGCGGCAAAATCCTGGGTGCGGCTATGCACACGATGGCAACAAGCCGTTTCATGCAGTTGCGTATGCACAAACATAAGCTTGCATTTCCATTTTCAGCCATATTTGCAACTGCGAATGAGGGACGCCGACGTGCAGGTGGTGACGCAGGTGCTCATTACGCGGACTGACACATGTATAAAGATGACGCTGCGCTCCTATTTTCAGCTCATCTACATGCTGTGCGTTTGACATTCGATGACACGGCAGCCATTCTCTAACACCACGTCTCTCATAATTAATTCCCTGCTGGGTTACCTGGTAAGCTGTATGTAGTTCTGTAACCTGGGGTTTGATCAGGATGGCGGAGATCCGAGGAAAACGCTGTTTATTTCTCGGTCTGCCGATCATTTTTTACATGTTATATTGCGTGGGGGTCTGTGGTGGCGTAGATACATGCATTTCATACGAAAACATGGGAATATCTGATTTGCCTAATGTTTCAGCATACGTCTGTCTAATGGATTCTCTGTCCGCATTTATTGGTCAGACGCACAGCAAGTTGGGCTGCGCGTATTGGCGTGAATTTACGCATGTGACGGGTTTGACCCTACAGTCGATCCACGGCATGAATTCACTTCAGTCCGATAGCGATGGCGGTCACATGTGACATGCGCGCTCCAGCTCGAGCGGAAAAGTTTGCTGTCTTTGCACCTTGATACTTAGCAAGGAGCTACTTTTTGAAAAAGTTGGGTATATGGCTGTGGTGAAAGCCGGGCCGTCGAAGCGTAACCCAAAGCCTTAACAACGACGAATATGCACCCTCACACAAATGGGATTGTTAATCGATGCACACTTTTTGAATTTTGAGAAGGACGGCGCACTAGGACACAGTGCGCACCTTTGAGATGCGATGTAACGTCACGTGGCTAGAGGTGGTGCTGTACCGAAACTGGAGACGTGGGCTCTTCGTGCAGCAGGGGCGAAAACTAAACAACATCCCTTTGATGTCCCATGAGTGTGAGGAGCACGAGTGAGTCGTACTGGCAGTGTGTCCGAGCGATCTGCTGGTGCCAAAACGTTGACCGATGTTAAATGAGATCCATTTTACGTCGGTGAGAGACGGGGTGCCCTCAGCATACCGGTGGCGGTAGTACCGGCAGCAGCGGCGTCGCCTCTTCGCGCAGCAAAGCAAGCGGCAGCCTCTCGGTAGTATTAAAATATATCAATAACGCATTTTGAACACAAATTCTCAATCCTTGGTCTTTTTAAATCAGCATTAAGTTCTCACAGAGGAAATCAGAGATGATTTTACATAAAACCATGTCTGTTATAAAACCTGGTTAGGTTTTGTTTGTGCAGCATTTCATCACCATCGACTGATAATGCATAAGCTGGTTTTCTCATGGCCAGGTTCTGATAAGTGTGTTTTTTAGGTTGTTGGGTGTTCTGAGTATGGCTCCGCAATTTTGGAGACGGTCAGAGTTAAGGGATTCCCGAGTTGTAGTCTAGAGCATTTTTAAAATCACTTCAAGGCAGCTCTCAGGAGGTGCGTTAGTTTTTCTGGTGACTTCTTCAGTCACCACATACGTGATGACGTATGACTGGTGTGCGCTAAGTGCCACCGGCTCGGGCGAGTGTGTTTGACACTCTGTGCAATGTCCTTTCTCAAAGGTTACTGCGACTCCTTAATACGGTTTCTACCATATCCCGGAGCATGGGACCTACGGCTGCCCACATATCTTAACCTCATTGCTGAATGAAGCTGATGCTTGTCATAATGATCCGCGTGTTAGGAACAACTCGCGTCTGCAGCACCAATCACGTCCTTTACTGATCAAAGGGGACGATGCAATAGCACCCGCACACTCATGCCTGCCATGCCCCCAGCCTGAATCCCACGCTGCCGGTCGACAGCTGGCTGTGCACCTGACTGGACCAGCTGTACTGCCATGCATCACGTGATGTCGTTCATGCGCCTTGATCACCAGATATATAAACCATCGCCACGAGCACTGGCATCACTCCTCCGCACTCCTGAACACGTCAGCAGCTCCCGTGATGAAGTCACCTGCCCCCGTGGTGACGTCACTCGCGGCACTGATGCTCCTCCTGGCGACGACCGCCGCCGCCAACTACTGCACGCTGAGCAGATGCCCCGCCAGGACGCACACCATGTGCAGATACCCCCGAGAGCGCACGGGAATCGCTTGCAAGACTATACTGGAGCGCGGCACCGGGCCCGCAGACCGGGCCGAGATCCTCAGGGCGCACAACACGGTCCGCCGGGCGGTGAAGGCCGGTGAGTACGCCTCCAAGACCTGCCGGCCGCCGCCGCCATGCCTGACCTCAAGTGGGACCACGAGCTGGCCCGCGTGGCGCAACGCTGGGCTGACCAGTGTTTGAACGGCCGCGACAAGTGCCGCAGCGTGGCGCGCTTCTACGTGGGCCAGAATCGCGGCTGGAGCTGGCGCAACAAGCCGGGCGGGGCCAGGGACTGGACGCGCAGGGCTGTTGGGAGGTGGTTCCACGGAGAGCTGCCGTTCTTCCGGCAGAAGGACCTGGTGTTCCGCCGGGGCAAGGATCCCGCGACTGGCCGCCCGATCGGTCACATGACCCAGGTCATCTGGGCGGCCACTACCAGGATCGGCTGCGGCTTCACCAACCAGCGGTTTGGCACCTGGGTGATGCGCTCATACTTCTGCAATTCCGGACCTGGCGGCAACATCCTGAACCAGGGGATCTACCAGCGGGATCAGTTGGGAGGGAGCTGCCCTCGCTCAGTCGCTCAGTCGGGAGGGAGCTGCCCTCGCTCAGTCGCTCAGTCGGGAGGGACCTGCCCTCGCTCAGGCGCTCAGTCGGGAGGAAGCCGCCCTCGCTCAGTCGCTCAGTCGGGAGGGAGCTGCCCTCGCTCAGTCGCTCAGTCGGGAGGGAGCTGCCCTCGCTCAGTCGCTCAGTCGGGAGGGAGCTGCCCTCGCTCAGTCGCTCAGTCGGGAGGGAGCTGCCCTCGCTCAGTCGCTCAGTCGGGAGGGACCTGCCCTCGCTCAGTCGCTCAGTCGGGAGGGAGCTGCCCTCGCTCAGTCGCTCAGTCGGGAGGGACTTGCCCTCGCTCAGTCGCTGCTTGACACGGAGGCGCGTGCCGCCAGAATACTGCCTTGATCCACTGCTGCCCAGCTCCTGGCGATTCTTCAGTGTTCACGGACGGCAAGCTGGTGTTCGGATTTGCAGACCGCGACAGGTATTTTGCAGCTTACGGAGACTTGTTCACTAAGCTTTTTGGCATTGTGCCTATTCGGATAAGCCACATGCACGCCGGTGGTAACAATCTAGGACCTAGCGATCCAGGTTTTTAGTCTTATTTCGTTTGCTTCGTCTCAAAATGTTATTGCAATTTTGAGGGAAAATAAAATGATTGTCCTTCTCAGCAGTAATTTAGGCACCCCGTGTTTCAAATACGACTGTGCTCTCATGCTACAGCTCTTGCAGAATATATCTGCATGATTCCACCGTTGTTGCCATAGTATGTGACAACACGGAGCACTCATTGTCCAGCGACACGACTTTAATGCAATGACCTTTGTGAAAAAACCGTGGCTGCGATGCTCGAGAGTCATGAACGTAACATGAAGCATGGACCTGAGTACATTTGTGAACCAACGTCCCAGCAAACAGAAATGCTACAACCGAATTTTGGAGCCGATTCCATCCATGCATCGTCACGGGTTAATGTTTAACATTCCTGGAAAGTGCTATGGCGTGCGCGGTTCACCCCGTTCATGTGCCTATGTTATGGGGCTAAGAGCTGGGCCAGCACCATGGATTTTGAGTTCGAAGGGGGCAGTGTTATGTCCATGAGGGTACCGTGGGCACGTGCCCATTTTCAAATTGCTACACGCACCATTATCCACGCAAATAAATGTCGGCAGTTAAAGTAATCAAATTGGTGCCGTTTGATTAATGCATTGGACTCCCGCCACCGTAAAGGGCCTCTCTTTCGCAAAACAGGGGCTGCTGCTCCAGGAAGAGCCTTCTGATGCATCTCCTAATGCAGGGCGACCCTTGCGCTCACAAAGGGAGCCTCCAAATCCAGCAAACATTACTTTTACTTTTACTTACAGCATTACATTAATTACAGCATTACTTTTCAAAAACAGAGCCCTTGATCTGAGACCGAGGCGATCTGATGCGTGAAAGGGTCCCATGTTCCAGAAAAGAAGCTTTCAGTTCCGGAAAAGAAACCTACTGATGCAGATAAAGGTTTTCTGAGTTAGTACCCTCTGGCTTAGTCATGGAACCTCCTTGACTTTAACTTTGTTATTTATGTACAGTCGGAAAACCTGAAATTCGGGCAAAAGGGCCCTCATAAAATATTGCGGAAGGGAGTGGGGAAGGAAGAGCAAACTCTTGTCCCCACCCAGACAGGGAACAGTGGGGGCAGTTGCCCCTCACTCGCTGTCGGCAGGCAGGAGGGCCAATGGCATGTTTTTGTTGCCTGAACATATTTTGTGGCCGTATGCCCAAAATGAGCGATTTGTGGCTACGCATATCTTAGCACATTCGGATCAAGGAAGACCCGATAACTGACTGAACTAGGAGGACACAACTGGGCTGAGAAGACATTTTTTTCTGCATCAGGAGAGCAATTTTTTCGGGATCAGGAGGCGCTATTTTGTGCTGAAGAGCCCCTTAACTGGCTTGAGAGAGCCCCGTGATGAACTAGTAGTCCCTGTTCTGGATTGGGATCCAGCCTCTATATCTCAGAGGATCACTATTGTAGACCAAGATCCTCCTATTCCAAGCCAGGAGGGTTCTTCTGGTGTGTCTGTCAGAGTCCCTCCCTCCTCTAATGTGTCAGCTGCTCCCGAACAGGATAACCTGTCTTCGGATAATGAGGCGCTTCGCCGGATGATCACAAATGGTGAATGACCACACCGAAAACTATCTACCCCACTGAGTGTCAAATCTCTGAGCGCTCCAAGAACGAGCACAAGACCGGACGGTGTGAACACTCGGTGTGGAGCATCCATGAGCATAGTGAGGACACCACAAGTCATGTTTAAAAGTCGCCGCACATAGCAAAGGGACAAAGACGGGACATGAGGCTGGCCATCCTGCGGTGAATCTCGGGACATCTACCCTCGCAGAAGGACACGCAAAGATCAGTTTGCACGGACGTGGAGGCAGACGGACGGTGGTTCCCCTCCCATAGTGCTGGAGATACAGGCACCTTCTAAAAGTTTCAGTGCTCCTCATGGAAATGTCCGCGGGCTGTCACGTTGTTCCAGCGACACCGCACCTCTAAAAACAAGGTGCGTTCATATCAATTACGGGTCCCATTCTGTCACCAGTGTCCCATCATTTCCTTTGAAATGCTGTAGAGATACATGCATTGGACGATTCTAGCTGGTCTCGGACAGCACCTGTATTGGGCGATTTTAGTTGGTCTCGGGCAGCTGGGCGATTCTAGTTGGTCTCGGACAACACATGCATGGGGCGATTCTAGTTGGTCTCGGACAGCACATGTATTGGGCGATTCTAGTTGGTCTCAGACAGTACATGTATTGGGCGATTCTAGTTGGTCTCGGACAGCACATGCATTGGGCGATTCTAGTTGGTCTCGGAGAGCGCACGATGTGGTCGTTGCAGCTAAAAACTAATCAGAACAGCCTAACTTAGAAATCTCTCGGTTATAAGTCAAGCTAGTTTGGGCAGGAACATGACTGAGGGGGAGGGGCAATGAAGGCAATCCCCTGCCATTACCAACACAACCCTCTCCCCTCATCCCCACCGCTACCCCGCCGCACCCTCGTATCAAAAGGTTCGCATCTGATACTGGGCGATTTCGCTGGAATTTGGTCCAAATCCGCAAGAATTTGTAAAAAATTGACGTTTGCTCCCTCCCTCCCCGAGACAAAAAAAATCATATAATCGAATCTCAAATGCAGTTGGAACGTGCCCAAGTTCGGTCGGATCGAATCTCAAAACTGGTAAGTTGTCACCTATCCATGCAGTTGCAGTGCGCGAAGAAAAACTCAAGACCCTGATGCAGTGTTTATTTCAAGTTTCCATGCCAGGGGACATTGTGTTGAGGACAAAAAGTGCTCGCTGTTGGTTACACAACAGTGCAAATATCTGTGCACCGCATATGAATGTGCATGTGGTCCCATTGAAGCCCCAATCACAGAAGGCACGTCAATGCGTTTAATCCACAGAGTGAAATCCAAGCACAACCGGCAACCCATCCACAGATGCAGCACCAGCAGCAGCAAATTGCGATGCTTTGCATTGGCTTTTGCACCCCAACCCTCGCACTGGCCATCGCGCGTCACGCGACTCCCCCTGATCGAGATCGTCAGCTGGCCTGTATCTCCAAGCACCCGCTGCCTCCCCCCCCCCCCCCCCCCCCCCAGCCGGTCCGGCCTACGTCTCCACTCAGGGCTCCCCGGCAGCTTCGGGCGCCGAACACTGACGCCGCTCGGCCGACGGGACTCGCGTCAGTCCCGCTCCACACGTGGATCAGCCTCGCTCGCAGGCTCGGAGCGGGCGTGTCGGCTCAGCACGCCCGCAGTGATAGTTTGTAGTCGTCCCCTCCCCTCCCCCCGTACACACTGACACGCACGACATCGGAACCGGCTCTCTTTAATCACTTTTGTAGCATTTGCTGTGTGTTCGCGGCAAGTTTTATACACGCATCATGCTTAGTTCCACATTTACTTGTTCTTCCTTATACTTCTTCGGGTGATGCCAGCGTCTTGGTAACGGGACTTCACATATGACAATCGATATGGGGAAAATACTCGAAACGTGTTTTGAGTGAACCAATCCACCTTTGGTGTGCGTCCAAATATCTGCAAAACGTCATCATTAAAACGTTGATAGATCCCGTTCAGATTATTATTTTTTGAAGATCTTCAGCATTGTATCGCACATGCACATTTCATGCCAAAGCCCCTGAGTGTGCAAAGTTTTAGCTGGAGTGATTGGTGCTGTGTTCTAGATACAGTCCTTATCCTTGGAATACATTACAGATGTCCGCGCACTGTGCACAGCTGCCTAGCTTCAACCCGCGTGTCATTGCGCAGTTGGCTGCCAGCTCCTTTTTTTCTGCTTTTTTTGGTTCACAGACGACTTTTGGCTGTTTTTGTACACAGGCTGCTCCAAATACTAAACCTGAGTGATATGTCATGAAGAGATGATGCAGACCGCATGGGAGCGGTGGCCCAAAGGACTTTTTCCCTATTTTAGTGTGGCTTAGAATTAATATTTTCTCGCCAATCACCTTCGCCCACGTTTGCGACCGTTCAGAACACCGTCAAACGACTTCGAGCAAAGCTTGAGCTCTGGGTGCAAGTGCTTGGGATCAAGCTCATTAAAACCTCCACGCATAAAACCTCTCCGGACCTTTCAGTCTCCGAAACTATCGCTTCGCGTGCGCTGCAGTTTGATAGCATTTGGTGCCAACTGAGCTTCCTCGCTAAAAAGTTGCTTTCTTCGTGAATGTATGGCATCAGCATGTTCAGAGGCGGCTATGTTCAGCGGATGTAAATACCATCTCAGGTTCCAGACAAATCGTTCCATGGATCCTGCATTATAACAATGTTCACAAGTGCCGTGGCAGCGCACAGTGAAAAGATAAGGTCTTTTGTCTGTATCATACTGCTTAACTGACCGGTGACAAAATGCCGACCGATCAAAATGGCTAGTGAGCTCAAGGGCGATTCACCGAGCTCTGCTTGAACGTAAAACGAACGGAAAGGAATGATGTAATCTATCTGGATTCAGTGCATAGTAAATCATCGAGTGAAACTGGTCTGCTCAGCTCAGTGGCTAGACTGGGTGGGTCAGTAAAAATCATAGCAGTCTACTTGCGCATGCAGTATGAACAACAAAAACTGGCACTTTCTGGTCAATTCATTGCTACTGGCGGTTCAAAAATCGATTTATTGGTAACGGGTAGCGATCCTCTGAACCTGTCCCAAACACAATGGTACGATCATAAATTATCACAGAAAGGCTCGTTATGTTATGCACACTAATCTCTGTAGGTATAATGTTCAATCGAAGAAGGGTGGGGGGGGGGGGGGGGTCAGGCATTGGATATATCTCATGCCCGCACCAGTTACTGCTCCCAGTACATCGAAACACTTAAAAAACGGCGTTGCGATAGCATGACTTGCGACAAACGACGAGAGATCTTTTGCACAGCATTTAAGCGCAGCTACTTTACTCGACAAAACGATGTATACAAGCGATTCGGCGACATTTAATCAAAATCGTTAAAAGCCTACGAACGTGTGCGGGGTCATGCACCATTTTGTCATCCACGCGCACGAGCCATTGTGCCTGGTGCAACACCACCTTACAATCTTGACAAAGTTGAGCAGCCGCTCCTGGGCAGAAAAGTCGAGGGAGACGCATCCCCATGTCCCCCGTTGTGAATATCATGCCTAATCACACTTAAACATGGCGGGCTGCTCGGCACAGTCCGTTGGCTGCCCATCCGTGTTGCAGTTGCCGGGGATGTGCCGCTCGCAGGAAGGCGAGCTCGTGCTGTTGGCAAGCCTGTCAACCCAAACCATAGGGGATGCGGTGCTCGTCCAGGTGACAGCAGCAGACTTTGTCCTTGTGATGGTCGCAAATGACGAACTTGTGACAGTCGCTGGGCAACGGCAGAAAGGTCCCATCTGTAGGGAACAGAGAGGAGCGTAAACAGTGTGATCATTGGCAGAAAGGTCCTATCTGTAGTGAGTAGCGGAGAGTGTAAGCAGTGTCATGACTGGCAGGAGGGTCCCATCTGTCATAGAGGGGGAGCGTAAGCAATGTGATCATTGGCTGCTCAATGCCATTTCGAAACGTTAGGAAGCAGCTGTAAAAATACGTTATCTTGCGCTCGGAAGAGATAGGGCGTAAAGGAGGGAGGGTGTAAAGGAGAGAGGGATGAGAACAGGAAGGGTGCCGTTGGTGTAATGGTTAAAGCGTCTGCGTTAACCACTGCATGTCTGGGAAGCCAGAGGTGCAGGGTTCGATTCCTTGCGGTGCCCGCCCTTCCTGCCAGGGTAAGAGGCAGGCGACACCATACAGCCTCAGCAGCTGAGTGCGTCTTGAAGTCCCAATAACGGATGAAAATAGGAGAGATTGCAGGAGGGAAGGGGGAGGAGGGAATGAGGGGGATGAAGGAAAGAAGGGAGAGCGAATGGAGCGAAGGAAGAAGAGGAAGAGGGAGAAAGGGAAGGATGAAGAAAGAGAGAGAGAGAGAGAGAGAGAGAGAGAGAGAGAGAGAGAGAGAGAGAGAGAGAGAGAGAGAGAGAGAGAGAGAGAGAGAGAGAGAGAGACGAAAAAAGAGCAGGAGTCTTTACCTGGGAAGTCAAAGCGTGTGCAGACAAAAAAGTCGAGCGCTTTAAATAGAGACGTGTGCGTTGTACACGTTTGGCGCACAACATGCGCATGCACTTGGAAGATCTCGCACGACGTGTACACAAACCTACGCACACACCATAAGCATGCAATGTTTACGGAATCCCTTAAGACGCTGTGCCACTGAAGCCCTTCGATTGTTCATTCTTTCTGTATCCCAGACCATTGTCATCCCATTTACATCCTCGGTGGTTTAAATGTTTGAGCTCTTGTCTAACGCCTGCTGCATATCGAATAACAACCACAACCGCGCCCAAATGCGCGAACCACCCAATGGGAAACACTCGTCTGCAGGTTCGACAAACACCAGCGCTCACCTTTCTGATCCTTGCAGAGATTGGGCGGTGGCGTCGGATGCGTGGTGCTCGGTTCAGCCGTCGTGGTTGATGCCGCAGTGGTAGTGGGCTGAGTGGTGGTGGTCGGTTCCGTCGTTGTGGTTGGTTGTGGGGTGGTGGTTGGCTCGGTGACTGTCGTCGACTGCGTGGTGGTGGGCGCCGCAGTAGTGGTGATGGGCGGTATGTAGCAGTTGTAATAGGTCTTCAGGCGTCGCATGTCGAGCGCCGATGGCACGGTCAGTCTTCCGATCTTCACTGAAATGCATCGTCAAATACGTCTGAGTGTGCATAGAGAGCGTGGTGCTGGCGGGCTGCTGACTAACCGCCAGGCACGGTAATTACGTCACGGCGAGACGATGCATGCGTGTCGGTCGATCGACAACGTCAGTGGTCGGCATGTAACGTCGGTGAATAGCCCGTTCGTGAGCTACACGTTCGAATACAATGCTTCCTAAAATCTCCCTGAAGCGTACTTGAAATGTCGTGCTCTCTAGCTAAGCTTTTGGCATGGCGTTACGTGGCTGAGCATTCGTGGGCGTTCGGGACCTCCCGATACGGCAAACGGCTCCAAGGTGCTGTGAGATTGTTATGCCGGTTATAATCCTGCGATGCTGTCGCAGTCCAGTGGTGGTTGGTACGAGTCCCAGAGCAGGCGCACTGTTTGGCCCGACTGAAATGAAAATATCAGCTGGCAACTGGCTAACGAGGTACCACTCAGGCCCGGGGACGGGGGGCGGGGGCTATGCCGCAACATTGACACAAAAAAACAGCATGAGACAAAATTATCCATTGATCTGGACGGCACGACTGGAGTGCTGGGCACATGATGCACGCAACAAGCTATGCTTAGCAGGTATCTGAGCCCAAAGCCATCCATGCACACTATTCAAAACAAATTCATAGAAAAGATAGTGGAAAATGGCTTTAGACCGCAGGGAGTGCGGAACTCCTCCAACAGTCAGTGACATCAGGAACTTGAGGGTTTTCCTTGTCAAAATATTCCTTATGACGTAAATTCGTGAGAAACACATGATAACACAGTTACAAGCACAGCAAACTCACTCCAGTGATTTAAGGGCTTCTGCGGCATTCCGTAAACTGTCTAGAGCTCTCAAAATCCAGATGGCACAAAGCACCTAAACAGCTCCATATTTTTATGATGCCCAGAGTCCTCGGGACACTTGAGGCGTCTCGGGAGTGAAGAGGCTGGACGTCCAATTCATCTCGGTCGGGGTCGCAGGCTTGTAGTCTGGTATCAACAGGGAGGTGAGCGGGGCCCGCGAAGATTCACGAGGACCAAGTACAAGCGCCTTCCATTAGGCCTATAGGGCTTCATGGCATGTGAATGAACGGACGCAGTCGAAGGGGGCGATGAGTGGATTTCACGTCACGGCGGGTGTCATCTTACTTATTTCTGTCCTGTTCATGTTCGGGTTCCTGGGCTTCAGTGACGAGAGGCTGCGTGACTCGGCGAACACGTTCGTCCTCGCGTGCATTACGCTCCACACGTCGTACTGTAAGCCCTGGTTGCCAATGCTATCGTTTCTGCGGGAGAAGGAAGTCGAACATGAGATGTATGGACACTGCAGCGAAGTGGCGAAGTGACAGAGTGGCATCGGCGATCTTGTATAAGACGTATTAAACTCATGAACAATGGCAAAACCCGTCGCCAGTGTAGCAATAAGCTCTATGGTGAGCTACTTATGCTGACTGCCCACTTTACCAAGAGTTGGAGGAACATGGACTGGTTCAGTACGGTTCTCTTGCCACTGCGATAGGCAGAATTACATTTGGCAACCAATTGCACGGTTGTTGGTGGTGCTGCTCTCTGTGGTCGACCACATCATGTTTGGCTATGAATTCTAGCCACGGAGGACGCTGGTAGCGTATTGGCCGGGACGTGACCCGCGTAATAGTAAGCGCGCAGGCGGTCAGTTTTGTGCTGTGTTCGGCACGGTTGGTGGAGGCCCGACCACCTTTAACAGTTTTCAAACGATTATGGTTATCCTATGACTAGCTGTCTCCCGCGATTGCAATTGGCAGACACGTTTTTGCATAGTTTACGGTGTTGTCAGTCACAAGCAAAGACAACGTACACAAATGAGCACATTATAGAGACGACTTGTGAATAAGTTCTCCCGAATACTTGCTGCATGATGCGTTATTCTTACCTATACTCGTCGAAAAAGCAGGCCAAGCTGTCGTTGACATTTTCATAAAGGACCTCCATTGTTTCGTTTCGCCCAGGTCTGTTCTGCTCATGCCAAAATCCTGCAAGAGTATCAAGCTCACTCAGCTGAGTTATCACTCTGCTCACTCAGACTCAGCGCAGCCTGAGGAGTGAGCACTACCATTTCGTGGCAAATCTCTGTGGTGCCGTTTTGTAGCTAGCTTGGCCTTGCGCATCTGACGAGGCCTTCTGGGCTCTTTGGACCACCTCCAGTTGTTAAATAGCTCAGAAGGTGCAAAGAGGTTATAAAGTCAACGGAGTCGATGCGGTGACCTTTGCAAAGGTCGTCCGAGGTCACCATCAAGCCATATCTTGCAGTAGACCGTTACATTTGTCAGCGAAATCGTTAATCCGCGCACCAAATGGTTTGCATATGCGCCACCAAACCCTTGCCCGTAAGGGGGCAAGCCACAGTAACCCACAACGACGCGCGGGAGGGGGCGAAGCCAGCGAGGGTCCAACTCCTGACAACACACCTCAAGTTGCGTGCACTGCGTGTCAAGTGATCTTCACGAGATCATTTGCTATTCATATGAGCAGTGTCCATTTGGGGACCATATCGTCAAAAGCAGGGAGCGAGATGAGGACTAGCCGCCTGTTTGCGACAGTTTTGATGAGGATTAGATGAGGATTAGCCGCCTGTTTGCGACAGTTTTGACGAGGATTAGATGAGGATTAGCCGCCTGTTTGCGACAGTTTTTATCGTAAATTGTGACGGGCGGCGCTGCTGTTTGCGGCCCCAACTGGCCAACGCCGGCTATGGTGAATATCGCCACATGGCGGTCTGTCTGACCGATCACGCTGACATGCACGGGCGATACAGGTGTACGCTAATAATAAAATGGTACGAAGCCGGGGTCCTCATCCAAATGTATATCACCCACTTACTTAACTCATTTTACTCCCCGTCTACCACACAACGCCGGACCTGAGTGCGCCCCCGTCACCTGCTTACTAGGCTTAGTTTACTCCCCGTCTACCACACAACCCCGGACCCGAGCGCGCCCTTATCACTAGCTTACCTGGCTCACTTTACTTCCGTCCGCCAAACAACCCCGGACTCGAGCGCGCCCCTATCACCTGCTTACTAGGCTTAGTTTACTCCCCGTCCACCATACAACCCCGGATCTGAGCGCGCCCATCTCATCCTCGCCTGAGCGACATGGAGACGGCCAACTGTGAGGCGGAAGAGAGGCTGTCATCCTCCCATCCTTTGGAAAATTGAGCACCCATCCTGTGACGCTGTGTGAAAAGAAACTGATTCCAAGCTAACCTTGCCCCTTCTCGCAACTCCCACCGCAGCAAAGGGCTTTCGCCGCTGCTAGCATAACTTGGCGTCGCATCTCACCGAGCACGTGGAAGAGCATGTGGAGGATCTGAGCGCTTCCGCTGGATGAGCCGCCCACGTTGGTGATCTGCTGGCCTTCCCGCATTCCGATCGCCGAGAATGTGCACGGGTAGCTGTCAGTGAAGGTGACGTAGTTGTTGTCCTCATCAGTCTTTGGCCGGAAATGGATGCATTTGGGGGTCTCCTCGGTGGCTGTGTTCTCTTCAAGCCAATGCATGCTTTTAAGCGTAGATTTACGGATATCTGGGGAAAGGATGAAAGCATAGCACTTAAATTTGACTGTACTTGACATGCGGGCCATGCAAACATACAGTGTGGGTAGACGTGTACAATAACTGGTGAACTTAGTTCGATGCTAAGTGGCAATACAGGGCAACATACTCAAATACAGGGCATGATACATACAAATGAAAAAACCGACGATGTTGTCATTTTCAAAGATATTTGTTACAAAGAAGGACTGCTGCCCAAGTTTACAAAGAAATAGATATATGCTTGCGTGCTTCTTTAAACGTAAGGCCTGAACGCAACTTTTTAAAGATTTTGTCCCAGCCTTTCAATTGGATAGACTGCCAGGATCGGCGCCGATGTTAAGCAGAGCAGCGTGTATTGCGTGATCCATGACGTTACCACCCGATCGTGAAATTCCGAATCAACGGCAAAACTGCGTCGAAAGCTTAGCTAGTCGCAAGGCGCGGCACGATCCGTCCCGTCCTATGACGTCACCTGACCTACAGGTGGAGGTGTGTAAGGGGAAGCCATACATCTGCCATGAGCAAAGTTCACAATTAGGCGCAATTTTTTAACTTCACATCGTCATGTAACCACATGAACAAGGTATCCAGTGAGATGATAACCTCGCGTTCAACGACTGAACGCTGGAGTAAAACGTGAGCAGCATTTAACGATGATAATCTTACCGGACACTGATTACATGACCCGCCATATCTGCTCTCCGCGTTATCGTTGAAATTCGGTATCACGGGTCAGAGTCGTGGGAGATTAGCAAGTCCCAGAAAACAGAGATTGAGCCCCATTTGCCCATCATTTCCGTGCACCACTATGGAATTAGAATGGCATGATGGCCACAAAATTCCACACTTCTCCTTGAACTAGATACAAAGTTCCACCACACAGATAGAACGGTAGTAATAGCCATGTTGCTCGGAGAAAAACCAGGAGAATAGAGATATAGATGCGTTTATATTTCGGCAGCATGCCCTCATCGAAACGAATAGCACACGTTTGGGCTTTATTTCACGGCTGAACAGCTGAGTAAAACTCGTGCGATACCGTTATGTGCCGAACATCACTCACCGTCATGCATGATCAGTTCGTACGGTACGACTCCATTTGGCCATGGCACCGTGTCGCTGTTTACAAAGCCAACGTTGTACTCCGCATCACTGGCGGCCCACGGAACCAGCTGTGGAGAGACCGATCGGTTAACATCGCGCTATCGTCGCACTCGGAAATGAGTCTATTTCAACAGCTAATGCTCCCAAGCGTAGCCTTAGCTTGGAAGCCTAGATCTCTTGCCTATATTAGCCTATCGCAAAGCATAGTTAAGGCTCTCCAATCGGGGATTTCGCAGCCATCACGCCATATGTTCCTTGTACCTTTAGTTTTACATCGGCCCCCCGTTCTTGCCTAACCTGAGCGTTGCTGTCTTGCTTGTACAAGAGCCCCTTCGGCTGGCAACGGCGATTTCAGGCCTGGAGTATTAAAAAGAAGTGAGTAGTTTGGCAAGACCGCGGCCATCGTGGGAGGTCTCAGCTCTCGAGCATTACAGGGGCTGTGCGGACGCTCGGGCTCCCGGTGCGGTCTCAGCTCTCGAGCCTTCCAGGGGCTGTGCGGACGCTCGGACTCCAGGCTTGACGGTCTCTCAGCTCTCGAGCCTTCCAGGGGCTGTGCGGACGCTCGGACTCACGGTGCGGTCTCAGCTCTCGAGCCTTCCAGGGGCTGTGAGGACGCTCGGACTCACGGTGCGGTCTCAGCTCTCGAACCTTCCAGGGGCTGTGAGGACGCTCGGACTCACGGTGCGGTCTCAGCTCTCGAGCCTTACAGGGGCTGTGGGGACGCTCGGACTCCCGGTGCGGTCTCAGCTCTCGAGCCTTACAGGGGCTGTGAGGACGCTCGGACTCCCGGTGCGGTCTCAGCTCTCGAGCCTTACAGGGGCTGTGAGGACGCTCGGACTCCCGGTGCGGTCTCAGCTCTCGAGCCTTACAGGGGCTGTGGGGACGCTCGGACTCCCGGTGCAGATCCCTGTTCGAACGGCCGTGAAGCCGCCTCATGGCTGGAGGCCGTGGCTTGCCCCGGCCGATGTCCAGACAAAATGTCGAAAGGAATACGTCGGATGGAAGAAGTTAAAACAAAAAAGTCAAAGAGCTCAAAAAGGTTTTCGAGCTGGTTTTCCCTTGGCTTTTTGCCATTTGATTTTTGCCCGAGAAATAATCCGGCAACTTTTGAGAATTTAGGATAAAGTGGTGAATGAGAAAACGAAGCGGATGACTTAAAAATCCCACAGGCCCATCTGGTTCACCCATCCATTTTGGTTTGTGCGAAGCTGGTCGCGTGTTTCTGGATGCAATTAAAAGTCTGGCATAACGGTGTCCCAGACTCATACCGTCCGGAGTAATCGATTGTCACAAATTCGCGGCATGAAAGCTGTTGTGCTGATAGCTGCGGGCTGCTAAGCTGTTGTGCTGATAGCTGCGTGCTGCTAAGCTTAGACTCCCTGTGCTCTTCACAGGTCCATTTCACTTCAATTTACTCAACTTATTCGCCATCCAAAGAGCGGATGGTGCGCATACCACATATTCATTCGCTATCCCTTCCTGATAAGTTGAATCCATGCGTAACCTACTCGTACGCATTTGCATCGGACCTAAGTTAAGATTACGAAAGAGTTGAAGGCAAGCTTACGCCCAGATTTACTCTTTTGCGCTGATGATCACAAAAGCAGTGTTAATTTGCCAGATATGGCACATCTTGATAGGACGGAAATGGAAACAAAAACGATGAATGCTGAGGATCAAGTCCAGTCATTTCCAAATCATGAGGCCAATCGTAATGCTTGTCAAACGCAAGAATCAGGAGCTGGAAATTTCTGACAAGAATGAGCCGCTTCCTTCTCTTTTGCCGCATTTACACGCCGTTTACAAACATCGACATCCTGTTTGACTTACTCCGTTCAGGAAGATGTCACCGTCGAAGAATGCTGAAACAGAGCAAAGCTGTAAGAGAACTGATCATCAATCGATTGAAGTGCATCTCTTCTCGACCATTTGAAGCTGAAACGTATACAAACATGGCAGCATTCCTCACTGTGTAGAACACAGCTTAGTTCGAAATAAAAACCATTGATCTGGTCTTAACTCCATAGCATGTTCCTATTTCATCCCCTAAGCTTCTGGTTATTATTTAGATGCCCTGAATGTGTCCGTAGTGTCCGATGCAGTAAGCTATGAATCAACTGTAAACACTGGTTGCATGCTAGCATGAGCACCGACTCTGCGGTCCGGTGAAAGTGCTCCCAGCTTGCGGGGGTTTTACATCGCAATTGAGACGTTTCATGGAAAATGCATCTTAGAACATCGAAGGCTGGGCTCCTTTTCGGCCGATGGCGGATGCCTGTTTTATCTCCTTCTGCCGGGTGCCGCGGGGAGGGTACGCTACGACCTAGATGTACCAGAAAACGGGGCAGTTGTCACGTGGTGATCAACAAGTCTAACGTAGGCCGTTTAAGACTTATGTCACGGTTGACCCGTGCTACGGTGTCAAACCTGGTCGTAACGCATTTTTGCCGTCTCGTCGTAGCTTCGTTTAAGGTTGCAGAGCAGACCTAGCCCAGATCAAAGCATGCCATAATGCACTTCAAACGAGCAATGGAAGGTCACCTGAGGTTACACCATCCTTTGACCTTGGATAAGTGGTTGTGCACGGCTTTTTGATCTACCACGTGGTGCTAAATTTCAGCCCCATCAGCAGCGACTGTGAAGGTCTGGTTTTAGCCTCCTCTTGCCACTGCAGCTTTTCCTCTGTCTACCCAAGCGGATGATGGGGCCTCAAAAGCCCATCCCTCTTGTGGCCTGCACGGTTAATACCAGGAGCGAACAGCTCAGTCACTGAAACTTGAAGGGAATGTCCCACATTTAAAAATATCGAAGCAAGCACCAGGTGTGATGAAACAGACTTACTTATAACCATTGGTATTTTTTTTTTTTTAGTGGAAAAGACTGCCCTAGATAGTATAATTCTCTGTTTAGTAAATATGCCCCTCTGTGCGTTATGATTTATGTCGTCGTACATTGCACAACATTGATTGAGAGCCAAGTGACGCTCGTTATATTTGGAAATTGTGCACACAAATACCAGGTATAAGCACTTCGCCAATTATGTTTTTCTTGGCTTTGGTCCCTGCGTGGCTTATGGGACTTTAGGATTTGAATGACGTTATTATAACGTCATGAATGCCAACGTGAATTTAAAGTGCTCTCCTCGATAAGCCTGTCTATTTTCGCGGCCTCGTAGCTCAGAAACTGGATGGGCTAAGGTCTTAAGAAGTACAGGATTGTAAACAGCACCGAAAGGTCTTCAAGATGGCTACTTCAGTTCAAAATCACATGTAAATTTGGAAAACTCCCTTTAAAGTCACCTGCCCCACCATCTACTACTCTGGTATTTTGCGATCTGGCAAGGTTGTTGAGTCATTGTCAAGCTCAGACTTACGTGAATCGCAGGTGCCATATTTCACCATCGGCTCAGGCCAAACAGCGGAATTTGCCGTCCACTTTGCTGTCATCTGTAGAGAGAAACACGGACGGGTAATACTGCAGTAAGATGCTGATGTCATGTCTGCACATTGTCAGTGCTGTGCTTTCTTGTCCGTAAGCATCTGAGGCAAAGTACTCGTTTGTGTGCTACATAGATGGAAAAATATCATAAGTAGATGTTTTGTTTGATGTAAACAAGAAGGACCGCAAGCCCGGTTTTTCGGCAGGTCGAGTTCAAAATTCTTGCACTGAGTTATTGACCCTCAACATATCAAGAGGCACTGGTTAGACGACGTAAAACGACGTTTCCCTTTTTCTTGTTCGGATACTTTGCTTTCAAAGATCAACGTTTAAGTCGCTTCCCTTTCCTTGTTCTGATCCATTTTCAAAGCTGACCATTATGGTCGGAAACTTATCATTAATGAGCAATTTTTTAAGACGTTGGGCTTTTCGTAGATAAGCTATGGCGTGAATGTTTTCATCGCTCTGCCCATGTATGCTTTGACTAAGCTAAGCACACACCTCTGGAAGTGTAATCAACGCATTCAAGCAGTTTCATCCATTCATCTTTGTTCTGCGTACGGCCATCTGATGCCTCCCCTCCCCCCCCCCCCCTCCCCACACTTGACACACATATGAACGTCGAGGAAAGCCAGCCTTTTCCTCATCATGATATCGAAGTGGATCTCAGAGTGGATGACAGCTCTTCCATCGCTGGCCTTTTTTGATATTTACCCTGGCTGTCGGTTTCCACAGATATGCCGTCTGTGGGTAATGCCTGCAAATGTGCAGATCGCTACCATCTGCGGAAAAACTTTTCAGGTCTGCGCACGTACGTATTTGTGAAAGCGCTCCAAGGATCATAAGGATCTAACATGGCACGTGACCTGATGCTGAATATTTGAAATCGAAAATGGGTCTGACAACACCGCGCCCTCGCAGGATCCCTAGCCTCCATGATAAAGCGGCAAATAAATGCACAGTCCGATGAAGAATGAAGACGTATACTTTTTAGCAAACTTCGAACTTTTTAGACAAACTTCGCGCGCACAGTTCCACTGGAGTGGAGCTGACACTAAGTCAGCTTTGTGAAGTCCCTCTTGCTTAAGCGAACCGTGAGAGCAGATAAGAACCTCGCTTACATCACGCCCTATGCGAGGAGAGCAGCACGCGGTACAGACTCGACACCAGATATGAGTCCGATCTCGATGCCCCCACCGCTGCAGCGAGATAAACACAACAGGGTGCCAGAGTCCTTGACAGGCACCCGTTCCGTCCTGAAGCGGCGTAATTACGGTCGCGACCGTCGATCAGCACCACTGTTTGCTCACCGTTAGCCGACGTTGCGATCACAATGACGGGCACACCATCGGGTAGGTGGTAAGCATGTGTGCACTTCGTGTTTTGTGCGCACTTGTCAGTGGCGCAATCAAATAACCAATGGCATAAGTCATCCTGCTGTCAGGAAACAATTTTCGTGTTGGTCGACAACGAACGTAGACAGGCTGTTTTTCAGACCGATTTATAATTCATAGGTTTTACAACGAAAAACAGGGTCGAAATGTATGGTCTGTAATGTTACATCGTAAGCAACGAAGGTTCTACCGTATGCAGGCAAACCTTTGCTGGCTTGGTTACTCATTAACCATTATGTGAAGTTAGCTGACCATCCAGCTGATCACATGGACGTTACCAAGCGGAAGGGGTACGAGCCCCCCCCCCCTCCCCCTCCCCCCCTCCCCTCCCCACATCACACACTACACCACACACACACCACACACACCCACACACACACACACACACACACACACACACACACACACACACACACACACACACACACACACACACCCACACACACACACACACACACACCCACACACACACACACACACCACACACACACACACACACACACACACACACCCACACACACACCCACACCACACACACATACACACACACACACCACACACACACACACACACACACACACACACACACACATTCCCCAGAGCCAAGAGTTTTATGTTAGATTATGCGTGATTTCGCAGGAATTCTTTCATCATTTGCAGAGGTGTGGAGAAATTTCAGTATTCCCCACCCCCACCCCCCTGACGAAGATTCTGGCAACGTGCCCGGTCGCTTCGAAACGCGCGAAGAAGCACAATGATCCGGAATATTGACGGGAGATAACAAAGCTAATGTCCAACGGCAAGGCAGCAACAATGATCAGGTTGTCTCGAAAAATATCGACTTGCTTATCACGCCAGTCACTATGTACGTGACGAATCATCGTCGTGAAAACGGCGGGAGGGGTTTATTTTGTCTGACATACTGTCTTTGGAGACTGGGCATCACCCATATACGCTATGTGGACTATGACGCCTATAGTTACGCCGATGATGACAAGTTTTGGTAGCGATTGAAATGACATCGATTGGGATTTTGATCGGCGAGTAATTACCACAGGCCAGTGTAACAACTTCTGTTTTTTCATCGTGATCAATTATATGTCACTTTGCCCAGTGTCCTTTGCGTTGAAATAGTTCTGCAGTGTTGACCTTTTCCCTCACCATCCGTGAAACATTACCCCAACCCCATAGTTTTTTTCTAGAATAGATTCTGAATGGTCTTCAGCACCTGCTGAAATTTTGATCACCGCAGTCGGAAGCAATTTTACACATGTTTAAATATTTCAAGCTTTCGACCTGGATGGGTTATGATTTACGATTTCTGCTTTGGGTCATGTCGGTGACATTGTGCTCGAAATTGACAAATAACGCTTATGTATCGTTTGCAATACACAACGAAGAGTTTCTCTACCCTTTTTTAACCTGACCACACTCAAAGCCATAGCATCGTTTTGGCTGCTATTGAAGGTCAGGTTGTTCAAGTCATGATGAGTCAGGGTTTTAAGTTCACATCTTGGTCTGATGTGGTGAAGGTCATCCGATTTATGCCGTAATGACCCATATCTCACAGTTTTGAATGACCTTTCTATCACTGCATCTTCCATTGATGTTGCTTGTTTAGTTCCTGATATAGCCGGGCCGGTCATTGCAACACCAGCCTTCACCTACTTTACCACACATTGCTGTCATCGATCACATCCGTCGACGTCCGCTGGTACTTTGTGAGGATGTTTTATCTATACTGAAGGCCGTTATCTGCATTGTCATTGCATGCCTAGTTTTTGATCTAAGAAGAGAGGCCTGTGAAGTGTGAATTTGATCATATGACCTCATTTGACAAGTCAAGAGTCGCATTTACCGTTGTTGACTTACACTGCTCGGACCGAATGCAGCTTAACGAGAGCTTTTAATGCGTTTATCATAGCTTTAGCTTGCTCATTTTTCGAGATCGAGATTGAGTAACATGACCCTGACCCCCTCCCCTCCCTGTCGCAGTGCGATGGTAAAAGCAATATTTGTAGGATGAGGATTAGCCTAGGCGCTAGGCGAACAGAGGCGAACGTTAATAAACAGCACGAAGTGGTACTTTCAGATAGCCGTTTGCGTCCATGGCGTTCATGACTGGAGACAAATCGCAAATGTGACAGCGTTTGAATTGCTTCCATTTGTTTTGGTTGACGAGCTTTTTCATATCGGAGTTTCTAGCTCGTTGTAGGAAAAATAAGGTGGATTTTTTTGAACCGCTCAATCCTTCTGTCCGAAACGAGGTGTGCAGCCCCTCTCCAGCAGCACTGTGACAACATACACCCAAATTATTTCCCTCTCATTTCACAGCTGAAAACAAGTGGGAGTCATCACCCCTTCTCTAACCTCCATCCCGCTGCCTGGGAGCGCTAGGTGCGCGTCTGCCTTCCTCACCTCCGCGAGCAGCGTGTCGAGGTCCGCGGAGGCGTTGTACGGGCAGGGTCGGCCCGCCGCGGCGGCCAGCAGCGTCGGCAACAGCCACAGCGGGGCGGAGCGCATGAGAGCGTGCGCGCGCGACGCCGGTGCGCCGAGACTGACCAGGTGCGCGCCGTCCGTCGTCCGCCGGCCGTCGTCGAGCGCTGCTGACATCACGGCGGCAGATAGCGCCGCCGGCGGCCGGGCTGCGATCTGGGCACGTGTGCCGCGCCTGCCCCGCCGCAGGGCGCGACCCTCGGCCGCGGGGCAGGCGGCTCGCGGCCGCCGAGGTGCGGGGGTGACGCCCCGTGACCTCGCTGGCGGGGCGCGCCGCTCCCACCCGGAGACGGGGACGCTTCACCGGCCTGGCGCCGCTTTTCATCCCATCAGCCGATTAGATGGCTGCAGGTCAAAAGGCGGAGTGCGCCCCCACTTACCGGCATCAGGTATGGTTGTTCTCATTCTCTATCGCTGGTTGTGGCGGGAACACAAAGACCCGACGGCGGGGCTGTGCGGACTCGTTTTGGGGCGGGGCTTATACCGCATGTCGGAGGTAAATACTTCACCCAAGGGATGAGGGGACTGCGTAATGCGCGCTTGCGGTCTGATTACAAGTCGCCGAGAGGAATGCAGGGTACTTTGCGCGGCTCGCAAATCGGAACGCAATACCAGCGGCTTTGCACTTGACCGTGGCCAATGTCTGACGCGAAGCGCTGCGTCCGCTGTGTTGAGCCCCGGACGTTTTTGATACGCGCTTTACATTTCCCTCGTTGAAGGAGCCAGTCGCATTGCCCAGATTGACGGGGCTTATGCTAATTTAGCCTTTGGTCCACATGGGGCGCGTTTCAAACGTATGCGAGTCACCTGTTTAGGGCCGGGGCATAATGCTTTCCGTCCCACCTGCTATGCCACCCCCCCCCCCCCCGCCCACCCCCCGCCAAACACACAGTCCTCTCAACGTTAAACCAGTGGTGGCACGTGGAAATAATAAACCTATAGAACACGCTGTCTCCTGGCCTTTTGTATGTGTGCACTTCAGGAAAGCGGTTAGTCATCCAACTTGAGAACACACTTGAGTCTCTCCCCGAGCACCTTCTCAGGCGCGCGAATATGCAGGAATATGCGCGGGCTCCTCCACAGGGAGATACGGGAACAGCGGGTTTACTTATTGGAATTGGGCATAAAGCCAGCCGGGAACCTCACATAAAACGGTCTTAATACCTAGGATATTCCGTCACACTTATATTCCGTGGCGAAGGCTTTCGACCACGTGGTATAACGTGTCCTCACGCCAACTGGACGCCACCTTCTTCACTGATCTGACGCAACCTTGACTTGCACGTTTTTGGCATTGTTCTGGCACTAACATGCGATCGAGTGGGGCTCAATTTGACTCAGCCGCGAAGGTTTTTCCGGAATAAATTCTGGATCGTGCGGCACAAAGCGCCACACAGTTTTGTGCGGCGGCGTAACCGCAGCCAAACTGTGCACAGCTGTAGGCAAGTAAACAGTCGATCTCTTGGTATGAAAAATAGAGGCACCTTGTAATGTCGCTGCCCTGTAGCAGTTCACAGTCCGGCCATTGCTGTCAGCGAAGATTTGCTATGACAACCGAATGTTAATCGAAGTCATAAAACCTTGGGATGGCTTGTTAGACGCTAAGACAATTAAGATTAAGGTTGCGAACAATGCCCTTTATCTCGTTTCAGTTAGGAAGGTCCGGCTTCAAAAGACAGTTTTTGATGTTCATTTCGAATTCCTTGAGCATGGGAATATCAACAGAGATCTCATGCTACCATCATGAAGATCAAAGGAGGGCACTGGCCTAAGATGACTGCGATAAAACTTTTGATTTGAAATGCATACCACCCAGCGTGGTTCTTGACGATGATTTTGAATTCAAAGGTTTTTGTGATCTCGACCTTCTGTAGGTCATATGTGGTTATTGCCTTGATATGAACAACAGTGGCCTTTTGTTTACAAAAGGTATCTAGGGTAAAGCTGGTTGCGTGAGGAAGTCTGAGGACACTCCAGGTACCTATCTGGAGTCTGACCCCGTTTGTCTTGACCAAAGTGAAGCGGCCTCACGACCCCAAATTGACAAAATTATATGCGTACACGCACGGCATAGCTGGGATTTCGCCCTTAAGGCAGCTAAATGTAATTTAGCCACCACATAAGGCACCCTCTTCGTCGTCATTGGTCCTTTTTTTCTTTTTTTAATCCGGTGGACAATTTTGGGCTTGGAATTCAATCGGGATGCCTCGGAAACCCTTTTCTGCTGTTGAGAAGTTCCTCGAACGTCTTAAACTGGCAAACATTAATTAGGACTTGGGCCGCCACCTCCATATGAATGATGGTCTCAAAAGCGCCCTTTTCGTTACACCTCCGCGAGGCAAGTTAGACAGGAATTACGTCATACACGCATGACTGGACAGCTGAGGAACCACATGGTGCGGGTCGGCTCGCTGTAAGTATGCCCACCGCAGATTAGTAACGATGTAAAAACAACGAGAGCGCGCACATGAGAGACGACAGCAGGTCACACAGCAGGTCACACAGCAGGTAACACAGCAGGTCACACAGCAGGTCACACAGCAGGTCACACAGCAGGTCACACAGCAGGTCACACAGCAGGTCACACAGCAGGTAACACCGCGCCTCTTCATCTTCGGGATCGCAGACTGGGCCCGCCAGAGATGGCCCGCAATCGCCGTCTCGAAAACTCCACCTCCTTACGGAAGGTCCGACCTCTACCGGTGCAATGCCGGACGTGTCTGAGATAGCTCATATCAGAGGTTGACAGCTTCAATATAAATGCCTGCACCGCTTTATCATTTTATGGCGGCCTGGGATGTCTCGGCGCATTCCATGGCATTGTATCGAACACCAGCGGTAGTAAATCAAATATTATCAGCCCAGCCGGTAGACCCATGCACGTCATTTCACATAGCGCACTCAGTACTTTAAGGCGGACTTCACTGACCTAAGCTTCTGATGCTTCGTAGCAACTTTTACATCCGCTCGGCCAGGCAGTGGGTTACCCGTCATTCTGCCGCAGATTGTTTGAAGCTAAGTCGATAGCTAAATGCGAAGCATGTTATGTAATGCATGGAATGTTATGTATGACGCTATGTGTAATCGCAAAGGTTGCACGTACATAATGTAAGCACAACTCGCTGTTCAAATATAACATTTCACGCACTTTTTCCGATCTTTTTTAAGTGCCCATATGCATGCCATCCTTGGCTTTATGACTATTGTGCAGCAGACGGTGTAGTAAATATGAGATTTGCGTAATAGCACCACAAGATTGCTCTTGGGTCACTTTCGGGTGCGGAACATAAGGGGGTGAGAAGGTGGAACAGTCCCACCTCATTCGGCGTTGTCGCAGGCATTTCATAAAAAGTTACCACGTTTAGCGGTACGCAAACAAATTTTGTGGATTTGCTTTAAAAAATGTTGTGAGAATAACACTAATCTTAAGCCTTGAAATACGTTTAAGGAAGGCAAAAACAGAACAAACGAATCACGTTTAATGTTTTCTTAGTGCCACTGAGAATACTGGATACTGAGCCCGGACATTGAGAAGGCATTTAAGGTAAAGGCATGCCCTGCTTTAGCCCTGTTTTGATATATATATATATATATATATCTATATATATATTATCTCTTATCTCTCTCTCTCTCTCTCTCTCTCTCTCTCTCTCTCTCTCTCTCTCTCTCTCTCTCTCTCTCTCTCTTCTCTCTCTCTTCTCTCTCTCTCCTCTCTCTCTCTCTCTCTCTCTCTCTCTCTCTCTCTCTCTCTCTCTCTCTCTCTCTCTCTCTCTCTCTCTCTCTCTCTCTCTCTCTCTCTTCTCTCTCTCTCTCTCTCTCTCTCTCTCTCTCTCTCTCTCTACCAATTCTCACCCAATTACATGATTACAAAATCTCACCCAATTACATGACGATGGCGGTCTGGAGGCAGAACATCCGAAAACCGGCTCTAATATTAACTGGTTAAATAATGTCGTTGCATGCATTTTGTCAGTCACAAGGTCTGACAACACGTGTTGTGTTGTCCAACCAGAAATGAGGACAATGCGATGGTGCACCTTATTAGAACAAGGTAAACGCTATATAGAACCAGATCTTCTCACAAAAATACCGCGTCTCATTTTCAAATGCGCAACTGTTCTGGCACGGGGCTGTGCGTCTTCGCCTGACGCTTACCGAATTGGGTGAGGCCGCCGATACGTGCTGCATTGGACTGACCGCGCCATGCGCGGGCGGGGCGGAAGGGGCGTGAGCTCTGACCCGGCCCCTGCTGAGAGGCGTGGGTGGCGTTATCGCCAGCTCAAGGAAGGTACAAAGCCTTGAGGGTGATTGGGAGTCCCCTTGACATTGTTTGGCGCGTCATCTGCGGCATTCTGCCCGGTCTGGTCGCCCACGCTGAACTTGAGCGCTCCCTGCGACGGACCTCGCACTTGATCATGATTTAAGTTGCGCCACGTTCATTTCTGTCCACGTGTTCGCTGAATGCGGAACAACACGTAAGCCTATTCAAGGGAAGTTGTATGTGCATCTCACACAGAGCACTCCAGTGCATGTTTAAGTGCACGCTTGTGATGGTAGGTACTTAAGGAATCAAATCAGGAATCATTTCATTTTAAGGAATCAAATCATATTCATGTAATATGGCGCCAGCGAGTCTCCGAAGCTTCCTCAACAAGGGGAGGCATGGGGTTGTGCCCCTACCCCGCAGAGCCAAGAGGTTTACGCTAGATATTGGGGGATTTCGCAGGTGTTCGGTTAAAATTCGCAGGATTCCGGAGAGCTGCTTACCTGGTGAGGCAACACTCGATCACGCCAAACATGCTTCTTTTTTCTGAATCTGTTTAATTCTCTCTAAAGCTATTCCGTTCCGCCGCAATAGCCTGCAGCTGTACCGGGTATGTGCGAGGTTTGAGATGCTGACTAATTCGGATGTGAAAAAGCAGGACGCCACTCCGAAAGCAATGCTGCATCGCAAATTTTAAAAGCATTTTAACGGCGATAGCTTCGAAATGAATGT